GCAAGGTTATAGAGCTATGTACCTCAATTCAGGAACACAGGCACACAGAATTGCCTTTATTCCTGGAGAGAATGAGGAAGCCTTTACAGATAAAGAGAGCTTATGTGAAAACTGATGGTCTGTGGTATACTAGATTATATATTGGCCTGGCCTGAAGGAAAAGTTGTATATGCATTTCACTGGTTAATATTTAAGAACTGTAGTAAGCTTCAACAATGTTTGATATTATTACTTACAACACAAATTCCAGAACCATCCAGGCATCTATCTGAGTTTCCATTACAATTGCAAGGAAGGCATCGTCCTCTGAACAGACCACTGTTCTCACGATAGAATCCAGGGCTGCATTTCTGTTGTATAAGAAAGGATTGCTGGAGACATAATTGGAAACTTCCTGAGTTGTTCACTTACTTAATAAGCTTTTTTAGTTTACTAATACTGTACAGCATATGGTTGTCTGAATATGACCATGTTTCCTACCTCCATTAAATGTCTGAACATTGGGGGGAAAGCTATATATCAAGAAGGATTCTTTCTGAGAGACACTTCAGTTGAACATGTTTCATAGACTACAGAAAAAATTTCCAGAATAGTTATTTAAATGCCATTTATAGAAAAGTATATAATATACTGCTCACGGTGGGTTTTTAAACCATGCTTCAAGAAAGCTTGGTTTCTTCATTATGGCTTACCTGACACCTGAATTAATTTATAGTTTAACTGCCCAGTACATTTGCTGTGATATCACCCTCTTAACTCATCCTGATTTCCTAACCTGAGGATATGATGTTTAGGCAATGAGAGGAATTCTATAATATGAAGCACAGTTTGTACGTACAGGCTTGTCCCAAAGACAGGCAAAGCATGAAAAGAATGTTCTTTGACTAGAAGCATTTAAGTAACAACACAACTCTTTTCTCTTTCAGCTAAAAGTCAAAGTACTGCAAAGCATTTTGGGAATCAGAATCATTAAAAGGCAAAAAAAAAAAGTGAGGGGGAGAAAAAAGGAAAAAAGGGGGGCTGAGAGATGGAACTGTCAAAAATGATATCCTTAGATACTGAACTGATGCCCATCTAGCACTTACAGCTTGATATGGAACAAGGAGACTTGGCTGTAAGACCCCCTCCCCCAGCCTCACAGTCTACCATTGGCCAACGCCATCAATATCAGTCAAAGCTCAGCTATCAAAACATGGATGTCTCTGAACTACTGTGAGGACAAAAACATTAAAAAACATGGACTAACTAAATAATTCTATGTGAATAGTTGTATTGTTGTATTTGTTTCAGCTGGTGCCATTCATATTGCACTGTTAACCTGGCATAGGTACCCTTATGGAGCACTGTAAAATTAGCCTGCTGAATTTGAGCTACTAATTACCCAATTCAAAATCAATTCAAGCAGATTACTCATGTCAAATTAATAGGAATTAATCAGTTTAAAATGAATTAACATGGTAACTCATGTAACATTTATGGCATTGCTCTAAATCTGACGATAGTTTATATGTACACTCAGAAATCTTTTTTTCCCTATGCCTTAAAGAAAGCTAAAGTCTACTGCACAGGTAACATGCCCATGTAGGACAACTTCCATACATCATGTCCCATCATAAATGTATTGCATGCCTACTTTGACACGCTGACAGCAAACTATTTGCTCTCTGTTTACTTGAATACTGCAGTCAACCCTTCCATGCAACAGAAAAAGTAAACCTTAAAGAATACCTATTTCTGCATTTGGAATAAAGATTGCAAACCTCAGCATGAAAAGAAATTGACTAAATTAGCTTCTTAAACTACTTACAGAACTGTTCAGCTAATGGATTAAGCATAAGCAGTCGATTCCCAGAATAACAGCAACACCTTCATAGCAGATATTCTGTTTGATATTAGAAAACAATATATTCCAAAAAATAAACAGACCAGCTTCTGTAGCCCCCAAGCTCTGCATTACACTTTAACATTCTAACTAAACAAATTAAATGGAGGCGAAGGAGGAAGAGAACACACCTTACCTCTCTTGGTTTAAAATTCCAGTGATGTTGATGGTGTTGCCCTTGGCCAGGAAGATGAGGAAACACCATCCTCTGTTGAGTAGCATATACCAAACAAAGCCTCAGGCTGATGCACAGCACTAGCCACCCTAGGCTGCCCGGTCTTGGCATTCCAGCCATCCTTTTCCTTAGCTTTAGGCTGTGCTTCTCATATGCAAGATTCTTTTCCCTATGCCGTCCTTTTGCTTATGCTACTTCTGATTGTTCTGCTTCTGACTAATCTATGATATGCCCCTCCTTTAAACTTTATACAAGAGTCAGGTTGTGCAACACAGCAGTTCCTGAGGTTAATGAACCACTTTGTAAAGCCTGCAAATGAGCGCATAGCTGAATTAAGGTGTGGCAGGTATCGCCTTTCCCCTGCCTAACACAGTCAGACAATCCTAGACAGTTAGAACTGCAAAGCATAGGCTGAGTAATTATGTGGTAATGTGTAGGATGTGGGGGCTACTTGCGTGAGTAGTCCCATGGCTTCTTTTGGGCTATGTATTTTTTTAATCTGACCAACCAAAGATTTAAAAAGAGAAATGTTATATGTGTGAAGGAAAAAGAATGGAAAGAATTTACTTCCTGCAACTCGTGCAAGCCTCAGCATGTTGATCAATTGAATATTTCGTATAATACACTGTAAAGGTTGTCTGAAATAACCACTGAACACATTTTAAAAAGTGACATTCAGGAAGTGTCAGTATCATAATTAGAACTGAAGAAGAATACAGACAGATGTGAACATCAACTTCAAGGATTATCAAATGTAGCAAATGGAACAAGTGGCAAGGTTCTGGACCCTTTAATGGAAGACGGGAAAGTTCAGTAAGCATGACTCTTCTCAGTCCTACACAGGCCCCATAAGGTGTCCCAAGTCTCATCTCACTGGGGGACTCACCTCAACCCAAAGCTAAACAAAATTATGCTGTCATGTTGGGAGGTGGTCATTCTGGATGCCCCTAGTTGGGTGGCCACCTTGACCTCTAGAGGGCCCGATAGAAATTCCAGCACCCAGGCCCCAGGAGGCACAAGGAGGGAAGAGTGGACTCCAGGTGGGGAGGAGGAGTGGGCGGATGATGAGTCCCAGCTGGGTGAGGTGGAGGGGGCAAGACCAAACCAGCAGGGGCCAGGGATAATGTGGGAGAGGAAGAAGGAGACACCATCTTGATGACAGGCCAGGGACAGAGGGCAAAGTTTGGGGAGAAGCAAAAGAGGACCGGCACCCTATCTTCTGTGCTTCTGAGGAGGTGACCTACTATCTGGTGCAGAACCCCCGACAGGGGTCTGGGCAGAGTAGGAAGAAGACAGGACAGAGGAGCTCCAGTCTTCAGCCCACCAATATCACTAACTCAGCATCAACCCCATGGAGACCTCAATGATCATCTGGTTCCCACCCCAAGCCAACAGAAGTGCTGGAGACACAAGTGCCAGAAGGAGCAGAAGAGGTTCAGACAGTACTAAGCAGCCAGCATTAAAAACCTCCCTTGAAGGGTGTAAGTCTGTGGTCCCCAACCCTGGGCCTCCAGATGTTCTTGGACTACAACTCCCAGAAGCTTTCACCACCACCTCTGCTAGCCAGGATTTCTGGGAGTTGAAGTCCAAGAACATCTGGAGGCCCAATGTTGGGGACCACTGGTGTAAGTAGCTCAGAGCTGTGCTGAAGACCTGACACCACCAGCAGATTGTGAGTAGCTTGACCCCAGTGACAGGAACTTGGGTTTGGGCAGAGACTGGACTTTGTGAGGGGCTGGTGGAGAGAAAACACACACTCTGGTGGACAAGCAGGACAGGATGCAGCTGGCACTCTTTCTTTTCTTGCTCACGTTCAAGCAGCTCTGGAAGCTTGGCATTTATGGAGACCATGATGGAAGAAGAACTCTCTGCTGCCTCCACCTTGGAGGTGGTCAACAATCATGTCCAGTGGTAGAGGTAAGGGGGGGAATGAGCTAGAATGCATAGTCACGGCAACTGACTGGTAACTGAAGATCAAATTAGATGAATTGTGAAATATGTGATTGCTTCCCTGAAAAGGCCAAGCGCTGCATGTATGTTTCTCTGAAGCAATGTCAAGTTTTTCTGTTAGTCCAATCTGCTCAACTTTAAATTTTGTTTGTATTGATTTTCCTTAAAGTGTTTTATGGTTGTTTCTGTCGATAGAGTGCACTGGCCAGTATTCTATAGGGTGATTTGACTGATTTCAGAGAAATTCAGGATGGGGAGTGATTCCCTCTGTGATTCCTCCCTGCTGATGCACCCTCAAAACCTGCTTCAGAGGGCTGGGGCAGAAAACAGTGCCAAGAAGGGCTGATTACAGAAAATAAGAAAGTCTTCTTGTGCTTACTAATTGTCAGGCACTACCATCACAATGAATTGAAGATTTCCCCCTATTTACATTTGTGTTGATGGCCAGTTTTTGATTCACACCTATATTGAATGAATGAAAATGAAGGACAGGTGCTACAATATTCTAAAAATCAAGCTGTCTCAGAATAATACACAATTTCTACAAGGAAACAACATAAAATAAAATATACCATTGAACTGTCAATGTAAATTATACAATGAAGATGAAATATACACCTGAACTGCCAATGTACGTTATAAATATATATATGCTACACATTAAGGTCTAATCAATGTAAATAACCACCTCTTTTTGCCTTAGTTAAATCAGTACTTTATCTCATGAGCAATATTCTAAGGATGATGCAGAGCAAAGAAAATCTCCTACCTGACATGAATCACCCATATATCCAGGAGGGCAGGAGCAAATTTCTACGGCATAAGCAACATCGCCATTTCCTGTATTGGTGGTTTCCTCCAGACCAACCTCGCCCAAACTTAACCGCTGAGATTCTGTGAAGTAAAGGCCTCTGATTCGTAATCCCTCAAGTCTAGACAGGACTATCATCAGCTCTTCTCGAGAAACCAAGCTATTGTTGCTTGCATGTCTGAAGTTTCCCTGCACATGCAAAATACAATTAAAGTTGACTCTCAGAAGAATTTTGTTCATAATCTGGTCAGTGCAGTAATATTATACAGGGGAAAAAGGGATGTCTATGCTGAAAGTAAATCTAATACAATATCTTGGGTGGAGCTTGGAAAAGTTACAGTTTGGTGCCAGAACCCCTCCACAGTTTTCTAGTCAAAATGGCCATTGGCCTTGAGGGCCAGAGATTGTGGAGCTGTAATCCAAAAATGCAGTTTTTGAATGCTCTGATCTCTTATCTGCAAAACTGGGAGAATAAAAAAAAAGACAAACTGGTGCTGAGAGCTTAAAAGAAAAAAAATGCTAGAAGAATGACTTAAAAATGTACAGAAGTAAAGATATGTGTTCTATGATTTTCATTTCCAGTATGCATATCAGCAACTAATTAGAAAGGCAATTGTGCTATACTCAGAAACATCAATAGACATGGAAACAAGAGGATGAAGCCGTGTCTACCAGTTCTCTACTTATTGGTAGATGTGGTTTAGATAGCATAATACTTTTTATGTGGTTTAGATAACATAATAGTGCATAAGCAGATGGAATGAAACAGGACACCATACCACACACTAGCCTGCCTGAATCACATGCCCTTCAAATGTTGTTTATTTCAACTCCTATCATTCACAGCCAGCATAATCAATAGTCAAGAATCTTGGGATTTATAGTCCAAATGATTAGTGGGGTTTAGACAGGGGAATAAAGATGGAAGGTTAGTGTGGTATAGTAGACAGAGTATTCGAGTTGGACACAGGATACCTTATCAGCCTTAGAAACTCACTGGGGGGTGGTGGCAGTGGCAAACCACTCCTTAAACATCTTTAGAAAACCCTATCAGAGTTTTTTATTAGGATCCTGATGGCACATAACAACAATGTTTTCTGACAGCGCATCTCTATTAGGCAAAAGGCTTATCTTGAGAAAGGGCATGGCATAATGGCCAGCTAGAAGACCATACACTGCAACATTTTGTTGCAAACTCCTCTTTTATTGTTTATATTCCAACTTCTAAAAAGTTTACCTGAAAATGAGAGATAAGGAACCAAACACAATTTTACTTTGGACTAGCCTATAAATTGTGGTGCTGGAGGAGGCTCTTGAGAGTCCCCTGGACTGCAAGAACAAACTCTCTATTCTAAAGGAAATCAATCCTGAGTGCTCTCTGGAAGGACACATCCTGAAGCTGAGGCTCCAATACTTTGGCCATCTCATGATGATGAAGACCCTGATGATAGGAAAATGTGAAGCAAGAGGAGAAGGGGACGACCGAGGATGAGATGGTTGGAGAGTGTCATCAAAGCTACCAGTATGAATTTGACACAATTCTGGGAGGCAGTGGAAGACAGGAGGGCCAGGCATGCTCTGACCTGTGGGGTCACGAGGATTCGGACGTGACTGAGCAACTAAACAACAACATCCATTTCCATGCTATGATGCTATTTTTACACACCTAACAAGTATTGTCCTGAATACTTCAGCTGGAATACGCAAAAGCTTATATTGCAGGAGATAGCGTATTGTAGAAGGAGCTCTAAAACCCATTCTTGAAATCTTAATTACTTTCTCCCTTTGCACATCAGTCAGGGAGAATGACTTCAGGATGTGAATAAAAATACTTTTCCATAGGATCTGGCTGGATAGGTTAGCCAGATGGAGCACCTGGCTGAGGACCAATTCCTCCCTGTGCCTTGTATGAAAAGAGCCAGCTTGTGTGGTCTTGGGAAAACTTCACTGTTCCCAAGTGCCCTAGCAGATAGGAATGGAAAATCATTTCTTAGTACTCTATACCTAGAAAACCCTGGAAAGGGTTGTTGTGAGCTGAAATCAGTATGCAAGTATTATGGTATTAAATGCAATGCAAGACAGTTCAAGTCAGAACACTACTCACATTTTTGCTAGAACTTTAGATACATTTGAGAAACCCTAAGTAAGGATCCATAGATCAGAGCAGAGCTCTTGTAGATCATCTTTGTTTCAGCCTCTAACAACCCAAGGAAAGATCTCACACATGAAAACATGATCCGTTTGGAATGGCCTCAAATGAGCACCTGTGCAACTGAAAGCAGACTGTACCTTTACTTTTCGAGTCCAGGCATGAATGAGACAAAAACATAGCTTGACTTTTAACTTTCAGGTGATAAAGGCAAGCAGCTGCCTGACTGTACACATAGCATGCTATTGCAGGGAAACTATTTCACCAGAATATAAAATAATTTGGTGCCATTTTCACATCTTAGCTTTTCAAGAGTATTATATAATTCTTTCTTCCCTTAAATGCGAGAAAGCCCAGGATAGCACAAAATGCTTCTTCTCTTTGGATGAATGAAAAGGCACCGGAGCAGCAGGGCAGCTCTGTAACACCTTTTTATTTTCAGATGTATTCATAAAGCAAATGGAGACAACTAAATTCAAAAACTAAACACCATGACTGTCGGTCCTGCATCAGATTTCCATGCAGCAACTGGATTCCCAAGAAAGCATTACTGCAACTAAAAACACTATTCTCTCACTCTGCATCTGAACAGCAAAAATACTATGTGTGTTTTCTACAATACCTAAAGGAGGAATTCATAATGCTGCCTAGAGTGGTCTTATAGACCAGATGGGTGGGGTATAAATAAATAAATAAATAAATAAATAAATGAATGAATGAATGAATGAATGAATGAATGAATGAATGAATGAATGAATGAATGAATGGCTTTGGTTTTCTTTTACTTCCTGGCCATATTCATGACCCACATAATGCATGCTTTGCCTTGTCCCAGCTTACTTTGGTGGCAACACCCACAACACCCAATGATCTACCAAATCTGCACTAAAGTGGAGGAGGACTGGCAATAAATCATAGTTTGTTCCAAAGCTCCTTTTCTGACTACGGATACTCATTGTGGAATATTTTGCTACTCTGGTGGCTATGTGTCTGTCGATGTGTGTGAAGATGATACTCCTGAAGATACTGCTATAGGCACTTGCCTTCGTCCTTTACCTCCTCCATTTCTCCACGTCCATCATTCTAATTTCTGATATCCATTGCAGCAGGAGAAAGATGGCACCATCATGGAAAAAAAGTGAAATAAGGAAAGCCCAAGAAAGCAAATGACAAAAGAGGAAAGGAATTCCAGCAGGTGCATGCTTTTGCTCACAGAGTGCCCTCCTCTAACCATGCCGGAAGCTGTGTTTGGAAGGAAAGGCTACTGACAAATGGACATGAAAAAGGCACGCAGGAGGCAGGCTGTGAGGGCAAAAGGGCACTAACAATGAGGATATGAAATGCAATGTTACATTATAGTGGGGGGGGGGAGAAAGAAATCAAGGTGTCTACTGATGGAATTAAAAACAACAACACTCTAGAAATACTGGTCTAAATGAACAGGAAGGAATCAGAATCAACTTATTTCACACCATGGGGAGTAGGCAAGGTAGTAAAAGGAAGATGTTTGGTTTCCCCCAAAATTGGTCTCTCACACAGCATTTTGATCAATGAGGCTTAATTTACTAGTAGGATTACTGAAGATTGCAGCCTTGAGAAACATGCTTTGAAGTAAGGGCGTTTCAATATGTTTTGCCATAAAACAGCAGTGGGGTGGGGTGGGGTGGGGTGGGGGGGAATGTCACAAGTGAGTTCTTCGATTTCTTACCTCTAGGAGCTGAACTGATCCGTAATAATGTTTGTCAGGCAAAGGACTGTTAGGATCCACGTAGATAATTTTCATTTGCTGTCCCTATGCAAAAGTAATACCATTCCAACATCAGTACAGCACTTACATGCAGGAGTAACATGCTTCCCTATTAATCTTATATCTTATTTCCCCCCCAACAGCGAGGCTCTAAGCAACTCACAAAGTAAGCATTTTAATAAACCAAGAGCAGTAATGTAGACTTCCACAAAGTTTTAAGGACATGGACAACAAACCCCAAAGCAAAATAATCTCCCACTATGAGAGACATTGTTACTTTGTGCACTTTTCTGCATTTCACTTTCTTCCTGTTTGACTGTTTATAATCCCACCCTCATCTTCTGTACCACTATGTCCATACATAGAAACAATTTAGAATTATATTTCCTGCATCTGATGAAGAAGACACTGTTTTGTGAAAGCTTATTCCACAATAAAACATGTCCTGCCATATAAAGCTTTTTTTTTTGCTTTTTAACATAACCTTCAAAAATACTTCTGATGCTATTACATCTCAAAAAAGAGTAATGAGATTAACATTAAACTACATATCTTTTTATATTGTGAATGCTTTGCTGCAATATTAATAGTTTTGCATCATTTTAGAAAATTATAACACAGAAATAGTGTAAAAGCTTTATTGGCATTGGGGAGACATAATTAAACAATCAGGCGTCCTCCAGATGTTTTGGACTACAACTCCCATGAACCCATAATGAATATTGCACTCAGCTGCGGAAGACTAGATTAGGATCAGTCTTTAGGCTCACAATTATTCCCCTTCTTCCTCCCCTGCAAGAAATAATAAATGGCCAAACTAGAAAATCGGAGGTTTTCTTGAAAATGGGATGTCCCTTTCCTACAAGCTAAACTCATCTATCTTGCTGATTTATTTGCTTATTATTGCCCACAGTAATCTGTATGGAATGTTCAGACAAACACATTTCAGGCTCTCATTTCTCTGAATAGCACTGTTATCAAATGAGAAACAAGAGATAAATCTGAATGTGTAGGGTGAGTATTCATTCTCCCCAAATACAAATCCAGAAGAAAAATATTATCTGAAGAAGGCATACCGTTCTTAAATGCAATTTAACATAAAGAATTTTTGTTCCTAGATTTACCAGCAACATTTTGAGCAAGTCCAGAGGATGATCAGGGGATTGGAAATGAAGCCCTTTGAGGACATGAAATAACTGGGCATGTTTAGCCTTCAGCACAGAAAACTGAGGGGAGATATGATTGCATTTCTCAAATACTTGAAAGGTAGTCCTGCTGAGGATAAACAGGAGCAGGGGGTTGGATTTGATGGCCTTATAGGCCCCGTCCACTCATTTATTTTATGATTCCATGATTCTGTTATTTTACTTACAGTTAGCTGCACATCAGGTCTTTTTTCTAGTAGAGTCATGCCTTCACTTGGCAATCCGAAGGATTTGACCTGATAAGTCAAGTAGCCACCATATGAGGAAAGCTGGAAAGTATATTAAAAGAGAAGGTGACTATAGTTATGGGAGATTTCAGCAATGTTTCTAAGTATTAAAACCATGATGATTTCATTGTTTTGGTCCTTACAATGAGATTTCCAGCACTAACCGCACAGTTTCCATGGAAGTGCAGTAGGTAAAAGGATGGGAAAAGGGGCATAGACTCCTCCCTCTCATGTGTCTTCAAAATGCTTTTTTATTAGCATCATGGGTTGTTAGCTACCAGACGTTAATACTTTGATATACTGAATCCGAATAACATGAAAACAGAAGACAAAGTGCCATCAGGAGAGACAGCAAAAAGTAAGGAAATCTACCCCAGTCACCAGGGTAAAAAAGCAAGCAGAAACATTTCAAACAACAAGGAAATCTTTGAAATTGACCTTGGGCAATCAAACGAAAGAGGAAGTTTGAAAGGTCACACACCTTTTCTCCCAAGTAAGAGGATGGTGCCACCCAGTACAAGCTGCTCACAGAGGGAGGCAATTCTTGGACATCAGCAACAACACTGTTGCTGCTTGGATTGAAAGTGACAGGGATATTCATGCCACTATCCACAGCTTCCAGAAGCCAGTTCCTCATATCAACAAACTAATGGCAAAAGAGAGAAGAGATGCTAAGAAAGTTTCTGTTACTGAATACCGCAGAACATAATAGCTGGGCACAACCACATAGCTCCTGAAGGAAAAATTTATTGGCTCCACTTCAGAAGGTCTTCTGATTTGTTTGGGTTTTTTGCCAGGAGCAGCAGCAGGCACTGCATGCTTCAACAAACCATCTTAAGTTAGTGATCATCTCTTTGCCCATGGTGACCTGCTTCCAGCATCACTGACATGATGTTCCCCACTACAACACACCAACTACCGGTATATCAGTAAAACAATGAAGTCTTTCCCAACTTGGAGCCCTTCGGATACATTGCTAGAATGGCCTATGGTCGGAGGTGATAGGAGTTGTATTTCAAAGCATGTGAAGCACCACAGGGTGAAGATGGTGAAGCAATCATATTACTGAGAATCTGGAAATTCATGTAATGAATTTCTCCTTGTGCAGCTCAGTATTCCACTTCAAAAGCAAAGTGCTAATAAACTATATGTCTGGTTGGGGTGGGGCCACAGGAATGCCAACGTGACAAGTGAAGCATATAGCCTTGGGCATTATAGTGGTGTCCAAAACTTCCCCCATCTCTTCATAGCAAAAAGCAGGACAATGTGCATTCCACGAAGATCTACCATTTTTCTAAGGAATTACGACAACATACAGGGTAAAGGAATAACAAACCTGTAAAAATGTGCATGGACACATACCTCTACTTCCAACAACAGGCATTAAAATGGAATAATAACTGGAGTAAGTCAACTTCTGGCAATAATTTTATGAACCAGAAGGAGATCCGTGACTGATTTGCTGCTGGTTTCCAAATAAGTTAAAAGAAGCCTAACTATTTTCCCCCAGAAGGCAAATAACATCTTCAGGCAGCAGGTAGTTTAGAATGGGGGGAGGCAATATCTATGTGGAATACCAAAATTCTCACCTAATGCTCAATTCCATAGCTGCTTTTAACTTAATATAACAAGAAATCTGAGCACATAACACCCATGATCTTCCTTAGTTCTGCTCTTAGCCAGAAATAACAACCTACAGAAATCATACCTTAATTTTGCTTTTATTTGTACTATGGCAAACATTGGTTGCGCTGGAGCAGAAGCAACTGGTGCAACCCTTTGGGTTAGCAGAGTCCAAATAAAATGATCCAGAGCGGCACATATCACACTGAACACCTTCCACATTCTCCTATAAGTCAGTTGTAAGAAGTCATTAAATGTTTCCACATTTCCTGCAGTAATATACACATGAAAACAGCTGTAACACACATGGACAAGTAATATAAATCATTGCTCATGGGCTTGTTTTTCAGTACATAGAAGCCCACATTCAAGTGAAGTGGTCTCCTTTTGAAAGGAAATGGTTAAGCCAGTGGCATATTTACACATTTGTCTTCTTGATGCAAAAATTGTGAGTACACCAATATTAAGCCCATACTCTGTTAAAGCAACCTTCTACCAAAGGTTGTCGTACAATTTTATGGCTTTTAGTCATAGGGTTGTTTCACACTGAACATGCGTAGCACACCAAGAATCTTTATCTGGTAAAAAGTAACAATATGAAAAAGCAATCTCTTTCTGGTTTGTGATGCTTTTGCATGCACTCAGCTTTACAAGCTTATTCTGTCCTGTTTCTACATGTATCAACATTTTTTTCAAGCCTGTATGGAAATTTGCACACTGGCTCTTATTTCTACCAATATTTTCTCAAAATGTATGTCTAAAGTGTATTTTATTAGAAAATCCCAGCTTTGAAAATGTATTTTCTCCTGAAGTATTTGTTTCTTTATCTGCTGTCAAATACAAATTTCTCAACGAAATTTGATACATTTTGAGTCAAAAGTAGATCAAAATTATTTCATACTTTATTTGTTACATTTATGACTACCTCTCCTTCAAGATGACATGCACTGCTAGCTTCTCCCCTACTTTTATCTTCATAATAGTTCTGTGAAATAGGTCAGACTAAAACAGTATGGTTGACTCAAAGTTACTAGTGAACTTTATGATCAGATGGAGATTTGAATCCAGGTCTTCTTAGTCCTTGTCCAGCTCTCTAATTACCATGACACATTAGAATATTGAAAAAGTATGATGTCTAGTAGATAACTACACTCTGATCCATGTACATATTAGTCCAGAGAAGGTGTGGATCAGGTCCATCCATATTAGAATTTCCAAAGATAAAAGTCATCAAGCATCCCACATCAGTTGTAAATATTTGCAAAAGAGTCACCCAAACAAGGCAATTAATAATACAAAACTCTCATGCGCTTCTACACTTGGTGCTTTGGTTCTGACTCTGACCATCAGGCTATTGTGGCAAGAATGATGACAGAAAAGAAACCTGTGCCTGAACAGTGAAGTCAATTGAGGGAGGAAGAAAAAATGATTTCCATATTCTTAAGAGATAACTTGCTTTAAAGCAAGCCGAAACATGAATGCTGGTAAGGAAAAACAGATGTGGTGCTGATATTCAGTTGCATAAATCATGTTACAAACTAATGAAATCTACACTCTGGACTATGTCTCTTGGAAATGGTTGTCTGGAAGCACTATTACAATCTGGCAATGAACTCTTAATTCATAAGATGAACATTTTATAGATACCCGAAATGAAATTAGTTTGGGATTGCAACTGAGTAATATTGATAACTTAGCTCCGGAGACTCTCCTGCTACACACACTGAGCCCTCAACAGATAACTTGGACAACTGCAATGAATCTAAGAATCAATCTCTTCCTCTAATTTTCCAGAGTGCAGCATGGGGGCTCCGCCCTGGATCTGCGGGGTTCCGGCAGCAAACGGAAGCAAATGGGCAGAAGCACTGGCTTAGCTGTGCACATCTGCACATGCACAGCTTAAAGGGAACATTGCTCTTCTCCTTAATTCCACCAATATTTTTAGTATATTATCCTAAAAATATACTGGGCATTGTTGGAGCAGTAACGCATTTATCACCAAGACAACAGATGTAGGCTCTCCTGCCACACTGTAAAAGCCTAAGATACTTTATCAACCAAAATCTCTTTCTGCTTAAGGATCCTTCTTCACTGCTCAATTAGTGCCTAATGGCAGAATCCCACTGAGGTTTGAGAGTGAAATAGGGAGAGCCTGGTGAAGCATGTGATCCAGAAGGAACACTGTTACCACATATTTCCATCAAACACTCAACTGCAAACCTGCATCATACAAGGTAGAATCCTCCTTGGAAAACTGACGAACACGACTTGTATTTTAAAAGCATATTTGATTTCTAGAAGTATCTCTCAGGCAAGGGTAATCCTATGATTCTAATTAATATTTGTTGGCAATTACTTCTCATGAAATTATGGGAATGGCAACTTCCAAATTAGATACAAACTGCTAACAATGATAACTACCCCGACTTTTGAATATGAAAGCACCTGACCTTACAGAGGCACACTCCTGTTTGTGGATCACAAACATTTGGTTCTGTTCCTCCTCTATTACATTTGCAGGGTTTGCAGTTTGGAAAGCCGTAAGAACCAGGAGCACACCGATCACATCGCTGGCCTGATATACCTGGACGGCATCTTCAATGAAAACAAATGCCCAAGAATCATTTCTGAAGGTTTGCTTTTAGGAAGCGACAAAATTTTTGTGCCATATGTGCACTCTAATACACAGATTATTTATTATTTATTTATGTACATTCACAAATTACTTATACTGTATCTCAAGATTTCAAAATGACATTTCACAACCATAGAAAATCCCATATAAAACAATGCATCTCTCTCTGATACATATACATTATCTATAAGAGTTTAAAGATGATAGGCTGAACTACAATTATTTTATTGTAAATTGTCATTGTTGTAAGCTGCCTAGAGTGGTCCTATGTGATTCAGATAGGCGGGATATAAATAAAATAAATAAATAAATAAATAAAATACAATGGGAAAACAGTGCTAAGGCTGGAAGGGAAGATTAAGCATATTGCCCAAAAAACCCAAAAAAGATGACTATTATTATTTTCAGGAAAAAATAGAGGCTGAAATCCTGCAGTTTCGTGTAGTCAGTTGCAACCAGAGTAGGCCCACTAAATGAACTGCACCTAAAGGAGTTGACACACCAAATCCCCAGTGACTCCATGTTCCTATTCTAGTTGTGATTTACTATGCTAAGCAACAGGATTTCAGGCAATATGTGAAACAGCTTGTCTATAGTGAGGTTCATTCAGTTTTACAGTGCTGGGTAAAATCTTAGAAATCAAACATATCTTGGATGCTTAAAATGCATTATTCTAAATCGGTGTTATACTCTTGGGAAGGTATGGCTCTTGGTTTATGTAAATAAGAAATGTGTCTCAGGCATCAGCAAATGCCATGTGTATCTTTGTTCAATTGATTGCTCATAATAATTTATGAGTGGAAGGCAACATTATTCACATTGTCCTGCGTGCCTTTAATAGATAGCTTGTTTGCATATTTCCAAGCTAGTACTAGAAATATATGAATTACATTATTGTAATAGTTCCATATTGTAAGGATTTTGTGCCATGTGACACAGCCTGACACTTTAGTTATGTTGATGGTTGTGGCGGAGTGCCTATGTCCCATCTGTCCATCATGTGGAGTTCTAGAGCTGGAGCCTATGAGAGGACAGGCAGGCGGAGGCAGGGGGAGAGTTGGGAGACTGAGAGAGAAGGAGAGAGGAGGTTTTGAAGGTTTATGAGAGGGATTGGAAAGTTGGTGTAGTTGGTTGATGTGTTAAAGGATAGTTAAAGGATAGAAGTATAATAAAATATATAGACAGTCATCAGATCTTATTAGAGTGATTGATGTGAAGTAATACAAATAAAGAAACATGTTTAATATCCAAGTTTAATGAGTGCAACATAATAAAACATCTATGAATCTACCTGTGTGATTCAACAACCAAATAATAAATAATCAGTTATATTTGACAACACGTGTCTATGCAACATTATTGGTAAAGTGTGGATAAAGATCCACTGGTGTCAGTTGGTGAAAGAGAAATAAGCAAGTCGTGTCCAAAGGTGCACATGGGTTTGAGGGAAACAAATTAGGGACACTGGGGGTGCGCAACATAAGTGGTGGCAGTGGTGGGATCCGAACCCATGCCCCTGAAGAGCCATATGACAGCCTGATACTTTACCTATGTTGATGGTAATGTGGTAACCTTAGTCCAAAACTTAGTCTGGCTATTTGGGGGAATATCACAACCACATATATGATACTCAGCATAAATGATCTCCCCCACATATCTCTAGCAGTTCCATGAATAGGCTTCTTATGTGACTAGAGAGTAAGCAGGGTGTGTTTTGCACAAGTATTGTGCAAAATGCCCAGTTCTCTGTGTGACTGCTTCTTGAAAAACACAATGGGCATTGTAGTCACTAAGGCTACAGGTAGTTTGACCTTAAGAAATTATTAAGGTAGGCAAAATAAACTTAAAGTTGAATGTCCTAATTGCAGGATGTGCATATGACTTTCCTAGGCATGCAAAATCTAACACATTTCCATGTTCCAATTGAAATATACATAAGACACATAAGATAAGAAGACTACACTTGGGAGAGACACAGTGTGCCTTATCACTACGTGCACTGCACATGTATCTTGATAATTAAAACAAATTTTCACATTGAATTAGGACTTTGAGCTACAGTCTATTTGAAAAGACTGAATACCTCTGTAACAATATAACCCATTCAGAATCAATGTACTTAATGTTTCGCTGAGAGCCCAAATACTATTATTAGGGTATATAATGACTGCTAACAATGAGTGAACAGAGCACTCTTGTGCAAAACTAAAAATTCATTTTAGCAGAAGCAACTGGACTAAATATCTATTTACTCCCATTGAAACTACTGTTCCAGATTCTCCTCTCAGCCCCATTATCTTTACAGGCACATTTGATGAGGAACTAAGAAAGGGCCTTCTGAGTGGCTTGCCTCAGCTTATGGAATGCCTCCCCCATCAGGGGAGGAGAGCCGCCCTGGTGCTTTCAGTGACAATCAAAAACCTTTCTCTTTGAACACACTTTTAACATCCAGTTTTAATATAGTTAGACAACCTACTGTTTTAATCGTCTTTCAATATATTTTTAATGCTTTTACCTTTTAAAAATTATTTTAGATATCTCTTTTAAAATTATCATGTTCAACAGTTTTTAATGTTGCATGTATTCTGTTTTAATTTTGTTTGTTTGAATGATGTGTGAAGTCACACCGAGTCCCTTCACTAGGAGAAAGGTGGCATAAAAATGCAAGAACAAACGAACGAACGAACGAACGAACTATTGTTTATTCTTATGTTGTTAGCCGCCTAGAGTGGTCCTCACACGACCAGATAGGCGGGATATAAATAAAATAAATAAATAAATAAATAAATAAATATAATAACTAGCTGCTGACCAAATGGTTGCTGGCTGGCTAAAAGTACCCAGGAAAGCATGCTAACCTTCACTGTCACAAGCCTTATTGCCATCTGGTTAGACCAACAGACAAAAGGCTTTGTGGTGCTGGTTACGTGCCTGCATTAGGCACAGGCAATCTGTAAATCCACTTTTAAAATGTGATGTTCCAGATTTTTATTCTTCAGAAAGTATTCATTGTGGCTAGGAAATTCTACTTTTTGCAAGTTAATCAAACACTACAAGAAAATAACTAGGTGTTTTAAAGAAACTTGCATGTCTTCCTGCCCCACTACCACTCTTTTAAGAAAAAAAATGCAGAAGTTCAAAGATTTAATGACCAAATGCAGTCTAACACTGTGGACTTACCTGCATTGCCCATTAACTTTATCACATTCAGGATTCATTGTATTTGTTACTCCTTTCCTTGAGCAGTTGCACCCCTCACAGCCTGTGAGGGGATGGTAGCCGAAATGTTGCCTCACACACACTTCACATCTTGGCTTTACAGTTTGAGGAGGACAAATACATTTTCCAGTGATATCATCACAAAGGCGCCGTCCACAGCTGCATGCTGGGATTGGGAGAACCATTTTATGTACAAACAACACTGTAAATACGTTTTGTTTAAATAAAGGTCAAAAATCTACTAAAGCTTACTTTGACTCTTACCAACTTTATGTTGTGGCTTGACTGTACAAATTTAATATGTGATCAGTACAATTAGTAATTAGTAATTATACCTCTCCTAACTGTTAAATTATGTGTTTAAAGAGTACAAATGTATACAGTATATCACAGTAGTACACCCCCTCACATTTCATAAATATTTTAGTACTGTATATCTTTTCATGTGACAATACTGAAGAATTGACACTTGGCTACAATGTAAAGCAGTGAGTCTACAGCTTATATAACAGTGTAAATGTGCTGTCCCCTCAAAATAACACAACACACAGCCATTAATGTCTAAACCACTGGCAGCAACACTGAATACTCCCCCAAGTGACAATGTCCAAATTAGGCACAAAGTGTCAATATTTTGTGTGGCTATCATTATATTCCAGCTCTGCCTTAACCCTCCTGGGCACAGAGTTCACCAGAGCTTCACAGGTTGCCACTGGAGTCCTCTTCCACTCCTCCATGACGACATCTCAGAGCTGGTGGGTGCTAGAGACCTTGCGCACCTCCACCTTCCGTTTCAGGAGGCCCCACAGATACTCAATAGGGTTTAGGTCTGGAGACATGCTTGGCCAGTCCATCACCTTTACCCTCAGCTTCTTTAGCAAGTCAGTGGTCATTTTGGAGGTGTGTGGTTGTTATCGTGTTGGAATACTCCCCTGCGGCCCAGTCTCTGAAGGAAGGGGATCATGCTCTGCTTCAGTACGTCACAGTACATGTTGGCATTCATGGTTCCCTCAATGAACTATAGCTCCCCAGTGCTGGCAGCACTCATGCAGCCCCACTCCATGACACTCCCACCACCATGTTTGACTGTAGGCACGGCACACTTGTCTTTGTACTCCCCACCTGGTTTTGCCAAACATGCTTGACACCATCTGAACCAAATAAGTTTATCTTGGTCTCACTGGACCACAGGACATGGTTCCAGAAATCCATGTCCTTAGTCATGTCTGCAGCAAACCGTATGCAGGCTTTCTTGTGCATCATCTTTAGTAGAGGCTTCCTTCTGGGATGACAGCCCTGGACACCAATTTGATGCAGTGTGTGGCATATGGTCTGAGCATTGACAGGCTGACCCCCAACCCCTTCAACCTCTGCAGCAATGCTGACAGCACTAATATGTCTATTTCCCAAAGCCCACTTCTGGATATGACGCTGAGCAGGGGCCCTCAACTTCTTTGGTCGACCATGGCGAGGCCTGTTCTGAGTGGAACCTGGCCTGTTAAACCGCTTTATGGTCCTGGCCACCGTGCCGCAGCTCAGTTTCAGGGTTTTGGCAATCTTCTTATAGCGTAGGACATCTTTATGTAGAGGAACAATTCTTTTTTTTCAGATCCTCAGATAGTTCATTACCATGAGGTGCTATGTGGAACTTCCAGTGACCAGTCTGAGAGAGTGAGAGCAATAACACCTGTTCCCCCTTCACACCTGAGACTTGTGAAACTAACATGTCTCATGACACCAGGAAGGGGAAACGGATACTTGGGTCCAATTTGGACATTGTCACTTAGGGGTGTACTCACTTTTGTTGCCAGCAGTTTAGATATTAATAGCTGTGTGTTGCATTATTTTGAGGGGGCAACACATTTACACTGTTATACAAGCTGTAGACTCACTGCTTTACATTGTAGCCAAGTGTCATTTCTTCAGTGTTGTTACATGAAAAGATATACTAAAATATTCATGAAACGTGAGGGTGTGTACTCACTTCTGTGATATACTGTGTATGAAAACAACAGTTAACTGCAGACTTTCTGGTTGGCTCATACAAGAGGAGGAGAAAGGGGTCTAGACAACATGAGCAAAAAGTTCATTCAAATATTGGTTTACGGTGAGACAGGATAATTCAGACTCTCCCATTATCACTTTAATTAATGCATTGTTCTAGTGTAAACAGTCTTAGGTAACAGATAACAAATCTTAGGGCTTTCACAAAAACTCAGACACTTATGCCCTGTGGCACAGTGGTTAAACTGCAGTACTGCCTCAGTTCACAGCCTGAGTTCAATCCCAACTGATTCAGGTAACTGGCTCAAGGCTGATTCAGCCTACTTCTGAGGTCAGTGAAATGAGCATCCAGTTCACTGAGGGACATGTTGTTGGCAGAATTATGTTGTAAACCGCCGAAAGACTGCTCTAGCATTACATAAGAACATAAGAAGAGCCCTGCAGGATCAGGCCAAGGGCCCATCTAGTCCAGCTTCCTGTATCTCACAGTGGCTCACAGGTTTTTCTATGTATAAATTACCCAGAAATGATTTACTAGTTCCTCCTTTGGGTGGCGCTATGGAACCATGCAACTTGCCCAAAATCCACACAGTTCATCGGACAAACACCAAGTAACCTCAGCTGACTCTCCTCTTCAGAGGCAAAGTGGGAATTTGACCCCCTGGCCCTAGCTCTGCCATCAGGGACAAGCTCTCTTTTATGAAACAGCTATGCTAATATTGACTTTTGTCATTTACTAAGAAGCTCTGCATAGACACCTGTGATGCAATATTAAAGAAAATGCTTTTAAAAGACTTAATCAAATACAGAACCAAACAATAGGTAAGTGTAATACAATATCTGACCTCTCTAGAAATTATTAGTGAATGCACTTACGTTTGCAAAATGGAAATCCATAATAGCCTGTTTGGCACCTGCTACATCGGCGGCCAATGATGTTTGGTTTGCAGCTGCATTGCCCTCCCATAGGGTTGCAAGTAGGACTGGTGGCGCCATTCTTGTGGCAATTGCAAGGCAGTGCACCATCGTTGTAGGCTGCCACAAGTGACCTGGCTGAATTTCTACAGAATTCTGAGGAAGTCACAGGGCTGGTAAAAGGAAACATATAGTATATGGATATATTAAACTGCTTTATTCTGAACTGGATTTCAAAATGAAATGCTTTTACTTTAACTTCATTTATATGTATGTAACTTTATGAACTGTCTTCAATAAAATCTGTGGGTTTTTTTAATGAAATAAAATCTTTCTGCCTGTGGCATACTTTCTCCAATATATTTTGAATAAAGTCACAGGTGGCAGCACCCTTCACACTTTCACTCCTCTTCTGATACACACTTCCTTATGAACTCAACTTTTCCAGCTGTACCATTTTGAGCTGCCCAAAGGTATCCTGCTTTCCAAAATGCCTCTGTCCTTCCTTCCCTTTTGTTTGGAATGGTCTCCCTGAATGCCTCTGGAAGCAACTCGACAGTGAAGTTATGTGTCTGAGATTTAAAACAATATTTCCATCCACACATAAGGATCAGGTGATTCACCACACCACACCTCAAAGTGCCACTATTTGGCCTGTTTTTCTTTACTTTTCAGCCTTCATGCCCCCATGGAGGAAAGCTGCATTTTTTCCCATTTATTGTTCAATGCCATTCAAATGACATAGCACTGGATTGTAAGGAAAAAGGAAAAAGAAGTTCACCCTCTGTACCTCTCCTGTTACCCTCTCTGTAGGAGGCAAGCGAAGCTGGATTTTGTTTTCGTGTATTGGTAAATGACATGTTACTTCATTGGCTTCCTGCCCAAGTGACATAATGCTGCATTATTGTTGGAAACACCCATGAGCTCAGCTTTGATTCAGTACTGGTGAACATACATATCAGAAATCAAACTAAACTGGAGTGATCCTACCTGTGTTAAAAAAAATTGCCCCCGCCAGTGATCCAAAACAGTGTGGCTGGCCATGGGAAAGGGTTAGGCTGATTCACAATTACCAGTTCATGTAGTTGCTGGAAAACAGTTCAAACCTGATTGTGTCCATACACAAGATAAAGTGTTGCCACCTCTCCCTTCAAATCCCTTATCAAGACAGACCTTTACCAGGAATTAGGGGAACAACTTTCTGGTCTCAAAGCCTACCGTCATTCTGCTGAAGCACATACCCTTGAAATAATCCCACATCCTCTCCCTGTTCATACTACCTCTGTTTGTCTTCCTTTCCACTGTAATTCCGCTTGTGTCTATTTTTAGACTGTACCACCCTTTCAGCAGGAACCCATTATTTGTAAAATAGCACTAAACAAATATACAGCAGCTGACAAATAATAGGGTGCCAACTACCGTAAGTCTTGCTCAGTGATGGAGTATCTGTCAGCAAACTAATTTTGAGCCATCCCCCTCCACTGTGCAGTGCCCTGTACTCCTCCAAATTCATGGTGGATGGTTGGGGAACCCTCTAGAGTAAATTTTGGGTGGTGCAAGAGAGGATGGGAACAAATTAAAATGGTATCCTCAAGTATTGCAATACTTGGTGTTGCAAATTAAGAGCCCAAGGTTGAAATCCTAAATGAACTTGGAAGTAAATCCTATTGAAATCAATTGAGTTTATTTTTAAACAGATTCATATAGGTTTATACTGCAACTTACTTAATATAAAAATTATTTCCACCACAATGGTTTCTGAAATCAATTGACTTGTCCACAGTATCTTTGTGAAGAAGTATGTAATTGTAGCTATCTGCTGGAATAACCAGGATACTTTCCTTTAAAAGAAAAAGAAGCTATTTATTTCAGACGTTGAATTTTTTTAAAAAGCTGAAAATACAAGGAACAAGTGTTGAAACACACTTTCATCTTATTTACACATGCACAAAAGGTGTGTACGCTGTGTCCATACTGATGGTAAAGAAGAAAGAAATATCACATGTATTAATCCAATCATGTCCGTAAAATTTAAAAAAAATATCCACGATAATTAACAATGACCCAAGATTAATACAAAATATAGCTACCCATAATAAAAGATGTCAGTTAAACAACAACAACAACAACAGAAATATAGCATAAGTGAAATATACAGAAAATATAGCATAAGTCAAAAGCCTGGAAAAATAAACAGCTCTTTTCCTGGTGCATAAAATGCAAAAAATATAGGTGCCAGACAAGCTTCCCTGTGTAGAGAATTCTGTAAGTCAAGACAGTTAGTTACTAGAACAAACTAACTATAGCTAAACTATTTCTATCCAGATGAAAGGAATCCTCTTCAGTCTAAAGACAGAATAGGTTTTAATATAACAAAACTTACCAATACTACTGTTTTCCCTTCTGGAATTTGCAGCGTTACTGAGACACCATGTTCGGTGATGTCAAGTTCAATTTGGTTTTCTGCCATCACTAGACCTCGGCATCCAGAAATGTGTGGACAAAATGAAGCATTATAGGAACCTAAAGGAGAGGAAAGATCAAAATGAAGTCTCATCTGCACAGACTCAAAATGGTCAGTTAAAAAAGGCAATCCCATTAAGGCAAGAAAAATCCAGCTTACCAGACCAGTGTTGTCCTCCTTTCACTGTTACATCCACTGGAAATGTTGGGTTCTCTGGCTGGTAAAAATGTACAACAAATACATATCTGCCCAAATGCATCACTCTCCCACTCAGAGTGATTTGGTTCTGTCAATATAAATATAATGTTTTGAGATTTATTGCAATTTGACCCTTGAACTATTTGCTGTAAACAATGAGGCTGTGTACATATGCCATCTTTGCACGCTACTTTTTCATAATTTACTTCTAAACTAGAAGTGCATGGGAATATCCCATCATATGAAGCTGAACAGGCTTTTAATGGAACAATCTCTGGCAAGCTGTTCTTTGAAATTGTAACCTCATTAATTCTTTGGCTGTTCTTTAGATTTAGGATGCTTTCAGACACAAGACTCCTTATGCTAATCTAAAGGAAGCCATTCTACAGTTATTGTGTCCTTTTGTCCGTAATAGATTTTTGACAGTTAGAAGATAGAAGCACTATTGTCTCACACCGCAGTAACATTGTGTGAATGAGACACGACAGTGGCAAAATTAAAAACATTGCCTGTAAGGAAATAGAAAACTTGAAAGGAAATAGAAATAGAGTGTTTCATGTGGCATGGACTGAAACATCCAAAAAAGCAACTTAGAAAGAGACAGTAACTTTAGCAGTCATTTTTTGTCAGAAACAGGAAAAGTAAACCACTCATGATTAGCATTTTCTGCATTTCTGTACAGAGCCGCATGAGCTTTCATTGCAAATAAAGCTCGTCTACCTCTGTAAGTCCAGCAATAGCATTCTATGGACTAGTTGCTGAGACCCCAGTGTACTGCCTCAGTGATGCCTGCCCTAGAAAATCATTCACACCAGGCATGCCAGTTTACAATCTGCTTGCCATTTTAATTTCCCATAATGCCTCTGATGTAAAGTCAGGGCACTGTGGAAAATCAATACATTGGCACCCATTTATAACTGTTGCTGGCTACAGCATTGGTACTGTCAGCAGGTACATTCAGGACCCACCAGGTAATCCCTAAAATAAGTGGAAGATAACTTTGCCTAAGATCCCTAAAATCAGAAGACAACCTGGCATCGTATTCTGGGGATGTATGACTCTTCACCTAGGACGTGATGGAACAAATGCAGCATCATGGGGTGTAAATCATGCCTTCCTGTTGCCCTTTTCACTTCTCCTGATAAAATGGCTAAACTTGATCAGAGAGAGAATACATTAAGATCCACAAAGCAGCAGTTATTCAAATATTAATGGGAACTTAAGAAACCATACCTTAACAAGAGCTTAGTTACTAAATCCAAGGCTTGGAAAAGTTACTTTTGGGACTATAACAGGAGGATTCTGGGAGCTATAGTCCAGAAAAGAACTTCTCCAAATTTTGGCATTAAGTGATCACTCTTGTTAAGAGGCTAGTCTCTTATAATTCAATTGAGAGTTCAGCCGCATGTCAAATAGATGAATGCTATATATTGATGGGCATGAATTTCCCCAACTCTGTACTGAATCATGAGCAATATTTAATTCAAAATGCAACCACCTGTGAAGAAGTCAAAGTCACTCCATTAGCTGTGTGAGCAGGAAGTGAAGGAGGACTCCGTGAATCATGATAGGTCACATTTCTTGGCACAGCTGCAACCTTCCCATCCCTCACAGCATCCAAAACCATGGCAAAAGGAGGCATTTCATACTGTGAGGGAATGCATGAAGCACTTGAAAAGGGAGAAAGATTTAGATCACTTACATAGATACTGTACTAGAAAGTAAAGGCAAATCAATGCAATAATAAATGGCTTGATTCCAAAACATTCACATATTGCACTTGTAGTTTTAAGAACACGAACAAGATGCCAAAGTAAATATCTGAGACACAACTAGAACTGTTACCATATATGGACTAGCAGAGAGCTAGTGAGTTGTACTAGACACAGTGACAGGTTAGGACTGAGGAAACTTGGGCTCAAGTCCCCACTTGGCCAGGGAAAATCCCTGGAGGAGGTGGAACTGGTAAAACCACTCCTTAAACATACCATGTACCACAAAAACCCGATGATTCAGATGTGACTTGAAGGCATGTAACAACAACACGTGTACTAATAATACATTCATTATCTGAATTTGGAGCCTTAGGGCACTAGCCATATGAAGGAATAAGGTGTCAGCAAGCTTGGGTGAAACCCAAGATTTCATAGATTCATAGAATTCTAGTGAAATGAATCTCTATTTTTATTTTTGTTTTCTATTTTACATGTTGTAACCCACCCAGAGTAGTGCTGTGATACTAATGGGAGCGGAATACAAATTGAATGATCAAATGAACGAACGAACGAACGAATGAACGAATGAACGAACGAACGAACGAACGAATGAACGAATGAACGAACAAATGAACAAACAACGAACAGTGTTGGAAAGGATCTAGCATTCATCTAGACCAGTGGTTCTTAACCTTTGTTACTCGGATGCTTTTGAACTGCAACTCCCAGAAACCCCAGTCAGGACAGCTGGTGGTGAAGGCTTCTGGGAGTTGCAGTCCAAAACTCCTGAGTAACTCAAGGTTAAGAACCAGTGATCTAGACCAAGGGTCTCCAAACTACAGCCCACAGGCCACATCTGGCCCACCTTGCCTTTTAATCTGCCAAGGCATAGGAAGAGGAGGGAAGGGGGACCCAAGTGACCTCTCACTCTTGCTGTCTTTGCAAATGCTAAACAGCTTGGTGACAACTGCACCCCAGCGAGAGAACATGTTGAATATTGTGGGGAGGCTGACAGAAAATTGAGAGAAATGGAATGGCATATCCTGGGGAAGGGCACGACAGGGTGGTAGCAAACTGCAATTCACACAGCAACATTTGTTGCAAGTCCCTCTTGTTTCATCTCAATCATAATTTTACATAAATTTGAGGTTCTTTGCTTAGGTGTACAGCAAAATAATGTAGGCGGGTTTCTTGCATATTTCTAGATGTAACCTGGCATATTTCTACCGAGAAGAAAACTTGACTTCTGAGAATAATATCCCATAATTTGGAATGCATAATTGGCCTTGTACATTGCAATTCCCCGAGTCAGAGAATGAAAATAGATAAACCATAAAACCTTAATTTGAGGAAAGGAAGAAGTAAGAAATTGTTTTACCTTGAATCAGCTAAACGGCCATATGTTGCTATGCAATATAGTTGAGGTTCCACATACTCCAGTGAAAACTTTTCCACTGGAATAATGCAAACTTTGTGCTAGGAAACAAAGAAAGAAACAAAATGACACTTTCCTCCCATCAGATAACAGCAGCATTTGAAAAAGGCAGTTAGAATGCATGAAAACAGCATGCAGTTTGTCTATGTGAAAAAATCCTCTTTTCCAATGAAAAGAAACAATACATTTCAGCTGAAACTGTAGAGTTTGTGAAGACTTGGGAATGAACAGCATAAAAGCTGCAAAAATCACCCAACAATAAGTAAGGCAGAAAGAAAAAGAAAAAAAGAAGAAAAACCCATTTGGCCTTTCTTAGTTTTTTTCCTCTTATCAGTAGGGCTTTGTGAGGTTAGACATGAGTAGAATGTGATAGGCAAACAGTTATGACACACCTGTAGTAAATAAGATTGAAATTGGTCCGGCTGACAGTTACTCATGGTTTTGTTATGGACAACTCATTCATTCTCAGTAAGAAAAGAAGTTTTAAAAATAGGGTGGGGTGTCTTAGGCTGCTTTTACTGCACATAGATAGTGAGGTAATACATCCTAACTCCACTTCTGGCAATAGGACTCTGCACATGTTGACAACACTTATTTACTTATTTACTTATTTACTTATTTTATTTATTTATTAAATTTATACCTCGCCCCTCTAGACCATGTCTACTCGGGGCGGCTGTACATAATGCAACACTTGTACATAATGCAAAGCCAGAACTGCTGAGTTATCCTAGGTTACTGTAAAAAAGCCATGAGCTAATTCAGCCCCACATGACACCTTCCTTTGCATAGTTGGGTTAAAAGAAATAGGAACAGAATACTGTACAGCTACGCCAACCTGGAACCTGCTTTGTTGCTTTGCAGCAGATCAAAGTTCAGAAACCAGCAACTATTCATCATTTATCATTGGCTTATGAATAACTGCCCAGTTTACCAGGCTTTTTATAAACTGTGCCAAAGTTTTATTGTTCTATTACATTTTCAGTTTTATTTGGCATGCTTTTATTTGATTGATTTTCCGGATGTCCCATTGAGTTGGCAAATTGCTGCTAAATCTCATATGCAGTACAGAAATGTTTTTACATAAATGAATAACAACATAGGGTAAGCAAGATATTGCTCTTAGGAGGAACCTCTGTAGTTCCAGAAATACAGTATAACTGGGTACCACTGGCCTGTGAGCCAAACAATTAATGACAGAAGAATAAAAAATGTAGAAGGGAGGGAAGGGAAGGGAAGAGGAGAGGAGATGAGATGAGAGGAGCCAAAAGGAAACAAAAGGAAAAGATCTTGATCAATAGGCTCTGGGCACATTTCCTTCCCACTTCTGGGCAACCAATAACTACTAGCAGATAGTCAATTGTTCAAGCATTGCTCAGCATGAATATACAAGTGCCTTGCCAGAAGTAAGAATTTCACTGCTTTTGAATGCTACCATCATGGAGTCACATCACACCAAGCTTGTCTTTACCACAGTACTGTGCCTGTGCACTATGTTTAGGAGGCATGCAGGCACAGAAAAGATTAAGAAAATCTTTTAAGTATCCAATAGGTGGTAGTAGATCAGTTACAATAAAACAATAATTATTTAGAATGGTCTATGCATGAAAATGATATTTCATTCAACATTTCATTCTGTTTCCATATGTCCGGCAAAGTGGATGTGTCCACAAAAGCTTACCTTAAAATATAGTTAGTCTTTAAGGTGCTGCATGTTTTTGTCTTTTTTGTTTCTTTGGATTGTGCCTGATATGCTTGCACAGACTAACACAGCTACCTCCTCCAATAAAACACTTGTAACTGCTTGCTGTACACAGCCAACGTCTTATTTTTCAAGCTTACATGTAGTATTTTTGGGACTTATAGAACTTTCTCAGATTCCTTGGAAAAAAATAAATTCCCCTAAAAGGTCATTTTAGCCTCTTAAAGGGGGACAAAATTTCATAATCTTGTAGCTTTCCTTTAACGAGGCCACTTTTGTTCCCTGGCAGATGATTTATTTGCACGCAGAAGGTCTCAATTTCTGGCCAGTTAGAACAATCAAGTACCAAGTAATGAGAAACATCTCTACCTCATATCATGGAAAGCTACTAGCACATAAACAACATAAACTTTTATTAGTCAGAATCCTGTTTGCCACTCCTGATGGTGTATAACTTCATTGGCACAAATTTCAGTGAACTAGAACCCATTAAGAAGTCTTCTTAGGCATCTGCTGTCATATACCAGTTGCATGACTCAGTGTGCACCCAGCAAATGCTTACCCTTGTTGGCAAATCAGCACTCTTGAATGCAGAGGAGTGAGCCCCTTTCACAAAGCTAACTTGCTTATATGTTTGTTTGCATCACTAACCAATTAGATGGATTTCATCTTCCTTCAGCTAGCAAAAAAATAACAACAACCCTCCTTTCTTCCTCCACATGTTTTATTGTCCTTTGTTTTGTTAGTCATACTTTTTTCCCAAGATGTCCCTAAGGAAGAATGCAGGTTAAACCTTCTCTGCATTGACATGGAGATTTCTCAGTCATGTGGGGCTGCAAATCCATGCAACTTTTAACCTTCTTTTTTCCTTCTTATAACTTCTGAATGCTTATGGAGCCTGCTAACCATTGGCAAATACATTTTTCCAGAACCAGATAAGTCCGCGTTCTCATCTTTTTCTATAAAGTGCTGGCTTTAGGAGAGGATTGGAACTGCAGAGGTAGACTGCCAGCTAATTCTTAACTTAATGAGCTGGGATCCTGCTATGCACTTTAAGTGAATTCCCAGAAACTCCAAATAATCCTTACTGCTGAAATGTATGCCAGTGGAGTCAGGGTGGTGTAACAGGATTCTAGCTGATTAAAACAGATTCCATGACTTTCTCTTTGGGAAAACTATACAAATAGAAACATACCAGGAGAAAATCTATTGCTGATGACCTGAGATACAACTTTGCATCAGACAAAATATCATAAACAGCAACACGATTCATGCCATCGATTACAGCACTGCGACACAGAAAGCTGAAAGAGATTTATTTTAAAGTTATTAAAGTTGTCATATTTTTTAAACCAGCTATATTCTTCCCAAAAAGTATTGATATTTTCTTGCCTTGGCCTAGAGAATGTTTACATTATTACATTTACACTTAGTACTGTTAAGTAAAATAGAGAACATATGATGATGGAAAAATAGAGAAAGATGTTGGAAATTAATCTAATACAAATTTAAGAACCATGTTTAGTGTCAAAAAATTACAACTTATTTTGAAATCTAGCCACCTTAGAATTCAACATGATCTGTATACATACAGAAAATCCAGGGCAGGATACGTAGTGTGGTATAGTAGATAAGAGTGACAGACTAGGATTCAAGAGACTTGGGTTCAAATCCCCTCTTGGCCAAGAAAATTCATTGGGAGGAGGGTTGAACAGGTAAGATGTTAAGTCTTAGAAGGAGTTGTCCCCATCTCTGGAAAACCAACCTGCTATATTCCAAGATAAAATGTAAATTGTAGGGATACTCTGGGTGGCGGGTGCGAGGAAGAAACTGCACTCCTGTGAGTTGAGGGGAAGTATCCAGTGTTCATGTCTCTTATAGAAGCTAAAGCAAGGTCTATGCAGCCCGGCTGTTCATCTGCCTGGCATTTCTGAGGGGACTTGATGTATGAGTTTACAGTCTCTATTGGGTTCTTGCCATCTAATCCCCTGAATATGGGTATAGATCTTGGTACAACTGGAAGTACCTTGTCCCCATGCCAATACTTATTTTGCCATTCCAATGAACCTACATCTTTCAATCTCCACCAATCTCCATTAGAATGGCCGTACATTTCATAATTGCAACAATCCCCCCTTTTCTAGCTATCATCCCAGTTTCTATCTAGGCCATTTGTACATGTTTCTGCTTCTGATCAATACTGGGATTGGATTTCCCACAATGGGCTCAATTTTGCTTGACTTTGGCTTAGTGAGTTGACTTGCTACTAGGCACCGGGGGGGGGGACTTTTGAATTGCCTGGTCCTCAAGAGACAAATTTCCAGAGAGAGGGGTGACCTGTTTTTGTTCAGAACCTTTGACTGAAGATATTTCATCCATCTTTCCTTGCAGAGTTAATTCCCTCTTTAATTGCCCCTCTTTTGCCTTCAAGGCCCTCTGTTGTAGATTTTGGTTGGTGCACTTCCCATTTTGGATGGTATTAGTGGTTTCTAAAAGGTTAAATAATGGTTTAAAATTCATGCTCTGGTCTAACGTTATGACAAGGAACTTTCAATGATGCAATAATGGCTTTTGGCCTATGTTTAACCTGTGCTTGCTTAATAACGTTATTAGATGTCTTAAAGGAAGATGTTAATATGGAAGTTAATGTTTTAAAATGGATCACCTGTACTTTAGAGGTTATGGAAATTATATTTTAATTGTAATATATTTTAATTGTAATATATTGCTGCTCTTTGACCATAAATAATTGATTGAACAAGTAAAGCCACTCCTTAGACGTCTCATTTATCTTGAAAGCCCAATTAGTGTTACTAGCAGTCATTTCTGCCATGACACCACTCCCACAGTCATACCATTCTATCAGCCTCAACATTTCTATGTTTAGAGTAACTTCTTTTACTCATGGATTCCAAATCCATTCCAAATGGAAGGAACTGGTGAGAACAGAATGCTCTTCACTGCCAAAGCTATGCTGAATATGGCAGAATGAGTAGTACAACTCTGGGGGGTTGGGCCCAAGGACTCTAATTACTCTTTATCTCAAAGACTCTATTTGAGTGATATATAAATGGATCTACTACAATGCTACAAATGTTAACTAATATGACTCAATGTGAAGCAACTAAAAATTATAAGATTATGCTCTTGGCATGAAAAACCTGTCAATACTCTTCATTCTACTTAAAACATCAATATATTGAACTAAGCACCACCTTATCCTTAAACACGGTTAAAGGATGCAAATGAACCATGGAACTATGTGCTCTCTTTTTCCTCAGAACTCTTTCCAAGGTTTTCACACAAATCCAATTAAGTTCAGAAGAAGTAGTGTAGGTGATAAAGACAACAGTTAGAATGAAGAAATGTTACTCAACTACTGCAACCAATAAGCAGGAAAGTGAGAAGATAAGAAATACAATAAAAGAAAGAGTAGGTAATGTCAAAGTGTCCAAAAATAAAAACAGAAAAACAAGAAAGAGAAAGATGAAATTAGCAATTGGAATGAGACGAAGGATCAAGGGAATAGAACATGCCAATTAAAAATAGCAAGTAAAAATAACTGAATAAAGAAAAAATGTTCCTGAAGAACTATCCAGAATAAGATAAACCGAAGCAGCAGAATAAAAACCAGCAAGTAAAAATAGCAAGTAAAAATAATTGAATAAAGAAAAAATGTTCCTGAAGAACTATCCAGAATAAGATAAACCGAAGCAGCAGAATAAAAACCAAGAGGAAAATGTCATACTTGTACTGAAAAACTTCCAGATACTCTCACCTATATTTGCAACTGTATATATTAATTCTTCCTTCTGTCACTTGCTCGGGTCTGTTAAGTTCCACACTAACAACATATAGTTGGTCATGCTCATTAGCATACTCAAGAACTACTACATAGCGACCAGCTTCAGGGACATTTAGCTTCATTTGTAGCTCCACCTAAAAATATAATAATAATTAAACCACATTTCAATATTACAACAATTATTATAGGGATTCCACCTCTTTTCATTAGTATTTTAGGCACTCAAAATAAAAAAAAAGGATAATCTACACTCTAAAAACTGAATCTAATCTGCCTGGGCAGATGAATATCACCTCACACATTCCGATAAAACCTATTGCAAATGCCTGAATAGGGCCACTATTTGTATATCCCTCCCATAATATGATTTATTCAAATGCAAATAGAAGCATTTTTTAAAAAATATCTTAATCAGAACGCTTGTGGAGAGTAAGAGTATTAGTCCCAAGCCTTCCACTGTTGTTACCCATGTGTCTGAGGAGGATGAGCTATACTGGACATGGAGTTTCTCCACACAACTGGGAACCTTGAAAAATCAGGGTTCCTTATCACATAGGTTTTGTGTATAGAAGAGTCTCTCCTCTTCAGAATGTCACTTTTCATATGAAGAGAGCTATAAGAGATGTTTGCTTTTGTCTGGTAGGCATCAGGCATTCAGATAAATCCTTTGGTGAAGATCTAAACTGAGTCTTGAGATATCTTACCTCTTGACCACTGATGTGTGGCATTACTGGATGTTTGATTGTTGGCTGTTGGTGAGCTACTTTCCTGTATTCTCCTCCATGCAAGAAAAATGTTACTTCAGATCCAAGTACACAGCAAAATCTATCCAGTGGCAAATGCTCATACTGTAAACAACTTCAAAAGAAGAAGAAAAAAACAAATTAATCAAGACAAGGTAATGACATTTTTAAAAAGTGAACATGCTTATTATCTTATTCAGGAAAGAAATGAACTTACTTATCTGTTGTGCCTTGGCCTGGATAGCTGCAAGGCTCAGTAACTGATAACTGCAGGAGGGGTGCTTCATAGTAATCACTAGGTAAGAGCACCAGGTAATCCTAAAAGGAAGGTCAAAGCAAATTAATATAAACATGCTTATCATAGTGAACATCACTGAAAATTGTTCTTTCCCTTTTTGGAGCACAGAACCTCAGATTTTGCATACTTATCCTTCATATCAGTGGTATCCATAAATATAGTCTATAGGAATTTTAATCCTATAATGCAAGGCAAAATTCTTACCAGAAGAACTCCCTCAGCCATGATTCTAATAATCCATGTTCCCCGTCCTAATGAAAATGGATCTGCAAAGCTTTTTCCTGGGACAGTGACAAAAGCCGGTTCTCTGCTGGGTGGGAACACAGTATCTTTGCTTTGGTAAGTCCCTAGCAGAAAACAGATAAATCAGTAACAGTACTAATGATTTAATGATTTGTGTTCTAGCAATGACATGTTATTTTTTAAAATGAGAAAAGTAGCAAATCACTCTGTTAAGACAAAGGAGTAAGTGAATTAAATGAATCTGATCTGACAGCATGGGAACCATTCCTCAGAGCATTATACTCAAAGTATTATCAGTTCAGACATAACTACCAGAGGCCTATTCTGGTCTATTTCTCTGAGAACAAACCACAAGGCCACACATTCCACTCTCCCTTGTGCAACTTTGGAACTTACAGCCTCGCTTCTTTGAACCATAGTTTCCTGTGATCTGTGAATGAGAATCTATGGTTTAATGTTTGTTTACAGATCAAACCCTATTTTCACACTCAATTAATAAATGAAAGTGAAACTATGGTAAAGTGAATACTTAAAAAGTATTCTGTGCCTAAATGTCCAGTGCCCATGGCAGACTTTGTCTTCTGACACTGTGCAATGTAACAGTTGGACCAGAATATCAGGATCCTGCCAAATCCCAGAATATGTCCCATTCATATTTTGCCATGCTATAGACAAGGATCCAGGTTTCATGCTTCAGTTCCTTAATACAATTCCCTACAAACTGTTGAGAAGTGGTAGTTTTTCAATAAATATTACAAAAAAAAAGAAGCTATGCTAAAACTATTCACTCCAAAAGCATCTCAAGAAAGAGTCACAAGCAAAAATAAAATGTATTCAAGGTAGGAGTACCACACATGTCTAGTTAGCTTTTTCAATAACAAAGGTATCTCAGAAGAGAATAGTGTGACATAGTTTAACTGGAAGAGTTAGGGATTATCTTCATGATCAATTTTTAAAAGATGATCAGGCGTGCAATTCTTTGTTTTAAAATATTTTAAAAGCAAATTAAAAAGAAGGAAAACATCTGGCCTTTGAGTTGCCAGGGACTTTTTACTTTCTTTCTTTCACCATGACAGTTGTTTCCATCTAAGATGAGTAATCTGCTTGGCATCACACTCCTGACTGGCTCCTTGGGTCTATATGTCACTTCAATAGCTATGAGGTCTGGATATACAGTATATATTTTTAAATGAGGTCCGCAGCCCACTTACACAATGAGGAGGCCAGCATTTTTAACAATCTGAGTGAGGATAGCAGCTGAACATATTTCTGTTCTATCTCAGAAGTTCATGAACTTCACTGTACTGCTATTACATATCACTGCCACTAGCCATTGCACTGCTACTAAAAATGAAAGCAAATGTCCAAATTTTAGAAAGCAGCTGCAAACAGAAAACAAACTACCCCAATCAACTTTTTGTTGAACTAAGTTCAGTGCCCAAAGGTGCTCATCAACCACCCTCTCAGTTCCAGTGCCATCATGTTCTACCTACCTTTCCGAGGACGAGTTTGATATGCAATTATGTGACCAGATATTACTGCAGGTCCAGGATTTATATACCTCAATATAACATGAAATAAAGAGAGGTTTGGTTTCTCCACATTCAAAGTTATCCTCACTTCATTCTGCAAAATGAAAGTTAATAAGAAAGAAAAAAGAATAGCCATAAAATGCCAAAAGGATAAACCATTAGAAGCCATGCAAGCAAAATGCTCAGTTCCTACAGAAAAAATAAAAACATGTACACGTACAAGACATATATGCAGAAAAGAAAGCATTTTTCTGGGGTAGGGAAGAGAAAGACAGGCAAACCTAGCAAGAAATTTTATTCACTTACAAGTGTTATTAGGGTCAAAATGTTTTCCCTCAGCAATTGAGATGGTCCCTTTAGAGGTTTTTGAAACCAAGCTGACATAGTGCAGTAGTAGGTGGAAGAGCTTAGGAGAAGCCACAGTGACAGGCACTACCACCTCTGGCTGGGGAAAAAGAAGCAAAGAAGAGGATAGGAAAGCTTGTTATTTAATACTACCACCCAAAAGCAGAAAATGTCTAGAAACATTTAGCAAATGTAAACATTTTAAGAAAAATAAAGTCATGGCCAGTTCTGATGTAGCACAGTCTACGTTGCTTATTATAGACCTTGATAGTGATTGATGCCTAGTCTTAAGGAGACAGATCTGGAAGTTGGTGGTTTCTATGTCTGCTTTCCTATATGTAAGAATGTGGGAACTCCATGGAGCTTACTGCAGAAAAAACCCTGTGTAGGACAGCACTGTGAACTTGCTCAGCCATATGGTATCATGCAGATTGTGTGATGAACCTTAGTATTAACTCTTCTGAAAAGCTGCATGCCAATATCAGTCAAAATTCTGATCCTCAGCATAGTAAACCTCATTAGAGAAGGCAATTTAGTAAGTCAGCTCCTTTAGAATTTCAATTGATTCAAATGGGCCTACTCTAATTGTGGCTTCTGTATGGGGTGGACTCTCTAAATCCACATTGATTCAATGGGCCTACTCTAGTGCAATTTATTAAGCTAAGCAACAGGATTTTGGCCAATAATTGATCATGCACCTATAGACCAGATGATCTGCAGAGTTTGCAATGAACTTTAATATACGCCTTGAGCTCTGTGCAAAATGCCTCTTATCTTGTTCGGTGAAAGGTGGCCATATCAGTACCTTTTTTACACTTCAAACCATACCTCATCCAATCCCCATACACCTTCTAGTGTGGCCTTCTCAAACACCCCTATGTATTTATCCTGTGACCATCCAAAAACAGTCTAGGCTACAACACAGCAACTATTATCTTATTTGTTATATTAAATCTACACAGACTACAACTAGGGAAGAGGGAAGGAAGAAAAGAAAAAACATTCAGGGTGGAACTGTCAGCACTACTTCTCTTCTACCTTCAATACCTTACATCTAAGTTCATGGTTCTCAACCTTGGATAGCTCAGTTGTTCTTGGACTGCAACACCCAGAAACCCCTACCAGCACAGCTTATCTTATTTGTTATATTAAATCTACACAGACTACAACTAGGGAAGAGGGAAGGAAGAAAAGAAAAAACATTCAGGGTGGAACTGTCAGCACTACTTCTCTTCTACCTTCAATACCTTACATCTAAGTTCATGGTTCTCAACCTTGGATAGCTCAGTTGTTCTTGGACTGAAACACCCAGAAACCCCAACCAGCACAGCCGATGAAGAAGGCCTCTGGGAGTTGGAGTCCAAGAACACCTGAGTTACTCAAGGTTAGCAACCACTGATCTAAGCCATTCACAAACTATGTTACCCTACATTAACCTTATGGGGACACAATATGAAACAGTGAGCAATTTTAATTTCTAAAATAAATTTAAAAATCATGAAAACAACTAAAGATGCTCTTATCTGTCCTACTTCAGATATACATGCTACTTGGGCGAAATGGGACTTGTAGTCCAACACATCTGGAAGGCACCAGGTTAGGAAAGACCGGTATAAGCTGTAATTCTACATGATGGGATAGATGTAGATTTCTTAAAAGCATGCTCTGTTTTTAAAGGCTAGAGAAAGCAGCAGAGAAAAAGAGCAATGAGGGAGATGCAATTCACAAATTCATATTTTTGCACTGCAACATGCCTACATGATTAACAACATTTATGTAATCAATCAATCAACACTGCTCCCCCCAGGAAGTAAAAGTGGAAACAACAGAACAAGGAATAATCAGAAACAAGCTATTATAATTTATGATACATCAAGGACTTCTCTGAACATGTCCCCATTCTTGTTACAAAAGTAGTTTTAGAAGAGGTTAACGGTGTCATTCTTATGTCCAAGTAAGTGGACGTGTCCACAAAAGCTCACATTAAAATACAACAGCTAGTCTTTACATTGCCACATTTTCCTTCTTCTTTATTGTTTATTTCTCTTTTGTTTTTGCTTGTTACAAAAGATGAACCTTCCCTTTTCCTAGGATGAAAAACTACCAACTGAAGAAAGCAAAGGTATTATCCAGAAAGATATCCTGATGGTTCTTACTAAGCTTATTCACCCATTTTTGCATAGTGCTCAGACCATTTATTTAGTACATCTGATTACACTGTCAGTCCTTTTCATATGGGCTGAAGAAACTGCCAACCCAAGCAGGGTTTCATTATAAACCACTATCAGCAAGAAGTTGCTGCAATGGTAGTAAATGATCTAAACAAAGTCTCCAAGAAAGCATTTAATTTAGAAGTTCAAGGGGTTACATGGTTTTATGCACTGCCCCATACAGTACTAATGAAGGTTAATTGGTCCAAAATCAGCTCTCCCCCTCCTTGTCCTTCTAAATATACTAGGAAAACATTTTTAAAATGACTAATTCAGACTTCACAATGCACGGCCACCCTAAATGTATGGAAAGAAACTACACTTCCATTAATTCTCTGGCACTCCTGGTCAAAATTTGTATGTTAAAATGTTTTTTCTATGGCTATGAACACTGTGATATAATCAGAAGGTTTACGTGTCGTTCTAGCAATGTATCGTAGAGTATATCTGACTAACTCTGATTAACAGATATTTATAAAGTTTCACAAACGCAAGTAATCTTACAGACACTAGCACCTGTCTAGAATATCAAATGTGTTGGTGGGACTCAATAGCACTCCTAATATGTATATCTACACATAAGGACATAAGAAGAGCCCTGCTGGATCAGGCCAAGGGCCCATCTAGTCCATCTTCCTGTATCTCACAGTGGCCCCACCAGATGCTTCTGGGAGCACATGAGAGAACTAAATACTCATCTTCTGATATCCCTCCCCTGCATCTAGCATTTTGAGGCACCTTCCTTTTAAGGAAGATACCTCAAAATGCTAGATGCACATCCTCATCATGGCTTGTAACTTGCGATGGACTTTTCCTCCAGAAATCTGTCCAATCCCTTTTTAAAGGCATCTAGGCCAGATGTCATCACCATATCCTGTGGCAAGGAGTTCCATAGACTAGCAGCATGCAGAGTAAAGAAATATTTTCTTTTGTCTGTTCGCACTCTCCCAACACTAAAGTTGAGTGGATGTCCCCTGGTTCTGGTATTGTGTGAGAGGGAAAACAGCTTCTCTTTATCCACGTTATCATCCCCTACATAATTTTATACGTCTCAGTCATGTACAGTTGGAGCAGCCAGCTACAGACGTCAATGTCCCTCCTGAGATCACGCCAACTTTGCCTTTCCCACCAAAAAACATGTGGATGCTGCACTTCCAGATAGAGGAGGATATTGAAGCCTGCTTGGAGACCTTTGAATGGATGGCCTACACCCACCATTGGCCCAGGGAACAGTGGGTGGCCCGGCTGAAGCCATACCTGAGCTGCAAAGCCCTCCTAGCCTGCAATGTCTTGGGCCATGACGTGGTTCCCACCTATGATGCGGTGAAGGAGAGCATCCTGTGTCGGTACGGCATCACTCCCGAGATGCAGCGCCGGGGCTTCAGGGAATTCCGATACCAAGAGGCCAAGGGCCCCCGAAAAGCCTACCAGAAGCTCCGCGTGCTGGGACGGCGTTGGCTGAAGCCCGAGAAGCACACCAAAGAGCAGATCTTGGAGCTACTCCTTTTGGAGCAGTTTCTGGCCATCCTGCCACAGGAAATGCAAAGCTGGGTCCGAGAACGTAGCCCTCAGACGTGTACCCAGGCTGTGGAGCTTGCTGAAGGTTTCCAGCTGAGAAATGAGGTAAGAGGAACATGCAGTGTGGACAAGAGCTTGCTTTGCACCTAAAAAATTGTTCCTTTTTTATTTAGTTGATTTGCTAACTAACCATGGCAATTTAAACTGAAGGCACATTTTTATACCAAGTGGGCAAATTTTGCCTTGATCAGGATTTGTTCCTTTAAGTGAACAAGGGGTGAAATTTAATATTGTAGTGAGAGTAAACCTTGTGTCAAGTCACTGATAGCATACAGATGGGACAAGCTTAGGTGATGCTTGTCCACCATGTTCAACTGCCAAGTGTGTTAGGTTGCTCTCAGTATTTAAGCAAGTGTGTGAGAACAACACTTCACCACTCAGTTGTGAGTCTGGTGGTCATTACTTTACTTGAATGTGTATATTATGTTGCTCAGAGATGTCTATGCCAATGTATATGTTGCCATGTATACAGTATTTGTCTGACTAAGTCTAATATATTTTAAGTTCTCTGAAGAAGAGTGGGCCTTCCTAACAGAGGAGCAAAGAGCCTTATACCGAGACATTGCTTATATATAAGTATTTATCAGAACTCTCTCCGTACGTTTTCTTACACGTCCGCGTCTTTACTCTGCTAATTAAGGGGAGAATTTGAAGCTACCACATAAGAGGCTCTGTGTAACTCGTTATCTTGGGCTCCAAGGTTTGTTTTCCCTAACAGAGTGCTCTTGCAAGCTTCATTATCTGAATCTGACTCCAAGCTTCAGGAGAGGCAATAGCCATATCAAGCCTCTGGAGTTGGCCCCACGCCAACACCACTGCCTGGTGACCTTTTCAAAGAATTCTAAAATGTTTGTGAGGCAAAATCTGCCCTTACAGAAGCCATGCTGATTTTCCCTCAGCAAGGCTTGTTCTTCAATGTGCTTTTAGATTTTATCTTGTATGAGGCTTTCCACGACCTTCCCTGGAACAGACATTAGGCTAACCGGCCTGTAGTTTCCCAGGTCCCCCCTCTTTCCCTTTTTAAAGACTGGTGTGACATGTGCTGTCCTCCAGTCCTCTGGCACTGTGACACGTTGACCTTCATGATGTTGTCCAAATATAACAAGTGCTGGGCTAACCTACAGTATATGTGTGAGGTTACACCTGCCTTAAAATCCCAGGGCCATTTCCAAATTGGTTATCTTTGGGTGTGATCACAAGTGTCACTTTAAGCGAGATCACTCCCGTTATAGCAACCTTTTCCAATGCAATCTGGCATACACCTTTGCAGCCATCTACTCACATCCTCAATCACATAAAGAGACTCCTTCACCATGCTGAGTATTCTGAAAGTCATAGACTGGGATATCTCCAAAGGGCTGCCAGAAATCACTTAGCAAACCACTCCAGAAATTGCAGAAAAAGCAGAGAGCCATCACTGAGAAGATCTCTTTCCCTCAGATGCCGAATACACAAGCAGACTAGACTTTATTAAATAATGTTTCTTTCTGTATCTAAGTATGGTTTAAGATATTTGGAATATTTGGAAATAAAGTGAACTGGACAAAGAAGATGAAATCACTCCTTCTTCCCAAAATGATTTCACAAAAAGACATTAAGTACCTACTTGTATTGAGGACATCTGTGCATAACCTCTCCAACTAAAACCAGGAAATTCTTGAGGATCATAACCAAATCGGATTCCTCTTCCATTAGGAGAAGTCCCATCTTCGACTTCATATTTTATGTGATGTAAATCTGGGAAATAGTAGTTCTTTTCCGGCCTTTGATAAATACAAAATTGCAAGAGAAATCAACACTTTGTTTTCTTTTAAAAATGTCAGGTCCTACGTATTAAAAAGAAATATAAGACATGATAATAAGGAGATATAAAATTGCTCTGCTGAATAAGACCTAACAGTTATAGACCACTAATACTTTCCTCACAATAGCCTTGGAAAACTCAAAAACATCGACTTAAGATACTTATTTCCCCACTCTTTGTCTCTCTTCATCACTATGCTACTTTGGTACCAAAATGTCTGCCTAGCTATCATCCCTAAATTAGTTTTCTTATTTAATTAAATAACATATAGTCTGCCTTTCCATTACAAAATGAGTGTTCAATGTGACTTAAAACACTCAAAGAGCATCCAAACAAACAAAGTTCCCACACTCATAACATTTTTTTTAATTCCAACATTTAAAGCAAACAAAAAAGATTTTAAAACAAGAAAGAGACAGAGCAGAAGTAAAATTAAAACCACCAGGAGTTAGCCAACATAACAGAAAAATGGCTTCATCATTTGCCAATACATTAAAAGGGGAGAGGAAGGGAGGGAAAACTCCTCGTAGGATAGGATTCCATGATCATATAGGAGGCTCTCTGTGAATCTGGCACCTCATATTCACCCGGGAATGTTTAATGCAAGGCAGGATATAAATAGGATTAATCAATCATACCAACCAACCTTCACTTTCCAATCTTACTTACTCTTTGCAAGTTTTTCCAACTATGTGCCTTCTGCACTGGCAGTCGCCAGACAGATCATTGCACACTTGACTTACAGCCCCTCCAACATCACATTCACATCCTGCAAGAGAAGATCCCATTTTTAAACAGTGGACACAGAATAAGTATTACCAAAAGAAAGAACCATAGAAAACAGGTTTCATATTCCTCACCACATTTGCTTCCTTCCTCTAGATCTATTCTAATTCATCTATACCCTCATAAGTGTGAATGGGATAGAATGGGATACAGTGCTCCAGAAAAGATCTGACTAATGCACAATAAATAACTTTGAATGGGATAGAATGGGATACAGTGCTCCACTAATGCACAATAAATAACTTTGTATTACTTGGAAGCTGCCTTTCTGGAAATGTCTTTACCCCTACACACACACACACACAAACACACATGGTGACGATTCCTTCTACCACTTCTCAGAGACGTGGGTATATTCTTCCAGTTTGTGCTGGCACAGCTCCAGAATCCTTACATTAAGGCATGCAGATCAGGCTGATGCTGCAGAGACAGAAAAGGGCAAGGAAGAAAGAACTGGCATAGCACCAAAGGCTCTGTCAGTTTCTCTTCAAATGGCAGCACAAACAGAATAGGGTAAGCGGGGAATCACTGCAGCAATATCCTGCAATAGATCGCTTTGTAAGTGCCTTGAGATGCTCTTCAGCCAAATCTTTCCTGGGGCAGGATATACGAAGTATTTGTTTCAGGCAAATACTGATCTGACTCTAGGTCTTTCTTGCCTCCACTCTCTCTCTGTCTCTCTCTCTTTTGACCATCAAAAAAATAAAAAAAGGAAGGACAAGGACAAGAGCCAATCAATGGACAAAGGCACCATATCTGACACATTGTATCTCTAGTTTGAATGGAGAAGATGGAAACAATATTATTTTGAATACTTCCCTAAATGCCAAATATTTGTTAGATTGGACCATCATAAATATTTTCTTATATTTGCTTAACCTATGCCAAGAGTTTATAAGGCTACAATCCTAACTGCTTATCTGTGTTCAAGATTTTATCTGGAGAGTAAGAAACTCGGCTTCAACTAACTGTAGTGTATGATATACTGTAACCTGTTAGGTTTTAATAAAAGGTTCTGAGTTATACACATAAAAATATTCCAAAATTTTAATGTAAAATACTTCATGTCGTGTTGATGTGAGGATCTTCTTTTGAGAAATCTATTGTTCTGTGCAAAATATTTTATAAATAAATCTTAATGTACCTTGACATCCAAGATAGTTCTTGGCTTCCAAACCATAAAAGCCATCTTCACAAGTATCACAAGAATCTCCACAAGCATTAGGTTTGCAGTAACATTCACCATCCACCTGAAGGAAAAGGGTGACATTTTAAGGAAGCTTTCAAGTGTTCTCTTTATGTATTTCTTATTTCAAAATGTTGAACTGGAATAATAAACTAAAACAATGGGTCTGAACAGTAATTTACAGTATTTGCCAAATGAGGCAACATTAAGTGTATCTGATAAAGTGGACTACATTATAACTTAGTTGTCAAGACACTCCTCAGTTCTTTATTATTATCTTTGCTGTGACACACCAACATTAGGTGTTCCTCTAAAATAATCTGCTTTTAAAAACGAGGAAAACGAGCATCTTTACATTAACTAGGTCCTGTTTTGTAGAAGTTAAGATTTCCAAGTCTCAGAGCACTGACAGAACATTCCAGGAACTGCTTTGCTTCTCTAGACAGCAAGACAAATTTCAGGGTGAGTGGCACTGGAGACATGGTGTGTGACATGGCTTGGGAATGGGATGCCCAATAACTGAAGGGCTAAGGCCCCCTTTTGATTGGCTGGCTGATGAAGGGCTATGTTCCAAAGGAGTGCGGTGAAATAAATCAAATTAAAAAGCAGATACCTGGGATGTAAAATCTACCAGGACAAAATAGTACAGTGGTGCCTAGCTTAACGGGCACTCTGTTTAGCGACGAAACCGCATAGCGATTAACTTTTTGCAATCACATTGCAATGTTTCCTATGGGTTTTTTTCGCTTTGCGATGATCAGTTCCCTGTTTCGCTTACCGATCATTGCAAAGCGATGATTTTTTAACAGCTGATCGGCGATTCCAAAATGGCCACCGGGTAAAAAAAATGGCTGCCCGCTGTGTTTTCGCACGGATTCCTTGCTTTAGAGGCAGTGAAAATGGCCGCCGTATGGAGGATTTTCGCTTTAAGGTGAGTTTTAAGCCCATAGGAACACATTGAAGGGGTTTCAATGCATTTCTATGGGCTTTTTAAAATCGCACAGCGACAAAATCGCTTAGCAGCGATTTTTGCTTCATGGATTAACATCTCTATGCCAGGTACCACTGTATTAGAATTCCAATATAATTAAAAGGGCATAGAAGATAAAAAGGTCTTCATTTGGTTCCAAAATGATATTAAGGTATAAGCCAGGCAGATTCTAGAACTGAAGGAGGCAATCAAAGAAAGCTCTTCCACTCTTGACTACCCACTGTACCTCACTGGATGGGAGCGTTCATACAAAGCACAGATGATAGCTTCAGAGAATTGCTCGTAGGAGCGGGAAAAGGCAATGTCCAGGTGCCAAGTTACAAAGAGCTTAAAAGATTGAAAGCAACATGTCAGATTATGCTCAGAGAGTAAGGATGAGATTGGACTGTCAAGGATTTCTTTGAGGCATGCAACTTTCATTTCTTTTAGACTACAGTTCCCAGAATTCACCAAGGATTTCCTCAGGCAGAATTCTGAGAGCTGTAACTCAAAAACAACATTTTAAAGAGAAACTTCTTTCACCTCCATTGCACAAAAAAAGGAAATGGTTTCCAGCGGTGTCTGGGACTGGTGCAAGGATTTGGGAGTCTCTAGGGAGTACAGTAGTGGTTCCCAAGCATGAGTTCACAGGTGTTTTTGGCCTAAAACTCCCAGAAGCCTCCACCATTCTTGCTGGGCAGAATTTCTAGGAGTTGTAGCCCAAGAATATCTTGGGACCCAAGGTTGGGAATCACTGCAGAGCAGGAGGAGTACTTTTACCTTAAAATTTTTAAAATTTTAACTATGTTTATATGATCATCACTGCAGAGCAGGAGGAGTACTTTTACTTTTAATTTTTTTAAATTTTAACTATGCTTATATGATCATATGTACCATATTTTTCCGTGTATAAGATGCTATTTTTTCCTAAAATCATTACACTAAAAATTGAGGGTGTCTTTTACTCAGAAGTAAGCAGAGATAGCTGAGGGGAGAACAAAATGAGACATATCTTGCCTCTGTAAACGGGCTTCCTTTAGTCATGAGACTTATCTTCCTAGAGTCACGAGACTTAGCTTCCTCAAATCACGAACCTTATGGAACTGATGTCAGCTGATGCTGTACTAACCAACTGGAATACTCCTTGTTGGACATGGAGCCTGTAGGCAGTGCTCAGATTCAACAGGGCCTCCTAATGTGCGAGCATTCTAAGCCCAGAGGCTGAATACTCAAAAACTAAGTTTTCTTATTTTTTGGGTTAGAAAAGTGGGTGTCTTATAAATGGGTATGTGTGTTATAAACAGAACAATACGGTAATTATCACTGCTGTAGACTGCCCAGGATGGCCACTGGTCAGTTGGATGGTATACAAATTGAATGAATGAAAAGTCTCATTGCCCATCAGGCTCTAGAGAGAAAAGCTCTCAAAAGAATTACCCATTCCATGTTTCCTTGAGACTCCCCCATGAACCCTTGAATCACTCTCAGGCACTAGAAGCAGTTTCCTTCTTGACAGAGCAGTATTTGTCAGAGCAACCCATGGAAGTGAGGAAAGTTCCTCTTTAAACTACAGTACTGTTTTTGGCCTGCAGTCCCCCAGATTCCATCTGGGGAACTCCTTGATGAATTCCCTGCAAGTTGCAGTCAAAAAGAAATACTGTAAAGGTCTCATGCCTCGTCTCTTCTGCCTGACAGTGAAGCTGAAAGATAGTTGCCATTGCAGATCAGTATTGTGTGGCCCAGCCTCCAGAAAGAATCAGCTAACTATGGCTTGGCACAGTTCTGTTCAATCAGAAACTAAAATAATATGCAAGCAAAGCACTTATTCGTGGAATGTTTTTACCTGCTGACATTCTCTGACTCCACTCAGTGTCCCAAATGCACTGCATTGGCATTCTGCAGAGGCAAGCAAAACAACCAGAATACTATTATCAAAGGTTCCCCTTTATATCACTGAAGCCCATTGGTTGATTACTAAACTCTGGGCTGCCTTATGTTGAGGCAGACCCTTATTCCACCTAGCCCAATTTTGCTGACTCTGACAGGTAGTTGCTGTCTTGTGTTTCAGGCAGAATTCTTTCATAGCCCTACATGGAGATGCCAGGCATTGAACCTTTAGTCCTTCTACATGCAAAGCATGTGCTTTACCATTGAGCCACATACGCTCCCTTAAAAAAATTCAATGAATTCTGTTCTTCTAATACAAGAGACAAATAGACCTGAGACCTATTCACACAATACTCTACCTTGGAACTGCTACACATCTAGGATGAGAAACATTATCACAAATAGAATCCATCATCTGCATTGGGAGACTGTTTAATTGCTGATGTTGCTAGATTGGCATTACAGGAATAGCAAGATTCCATATTAAGATAAATACAATTAACCTTTCTCCTTTGTACTTTTTTCTGATAATGTTCCTGAATTTTTCAAAAGCATAGAAAGATGATGTATCTATGCTAAGTTTAATTATTTATAGACATTACAGGACAGGAGTTGGCTAAGAATATTAATTATTTGTGTTACTAGTGGAGATCAGTGCCTTTACAAAGAACTGCAAGAACCATGGGATGTTTGATGGTATTTGTATCAACCTGGGAGAATTCTGCTTTTATCAAAACACAGTGAACTCCTGATCACAGTGTATAAAACAAAGGAGTCCTAAGTCATGGTCTGAGGCTCCAAAAGAGGCCCAGGACCATTCAGAATTCGAGAGGGATCCACGTCATTCCCAATTTTAAAGGCTCATAGTATGTTGAAAAATGGAGAAATGCCAAAACAAGATTTAAAATTTTGTGTATTTTTAAAAAAATGTCTGCAAATTATTTTTCTCCATTCATGTTGGAAGCAATCCAATAGTGCCTACCATTGCCCAGGGAATACCCAAATGTGTTCACAAGTCCTCACATTCTTCAGGGAGGCTCCTTCCATGTCCCTCAGTTAACAAATATGGACATAAATATAAAGGTGATGATGAACATCTTCTGCTTCCATTTCTGTCACTGTATCTTATTTAGAGGTAATGTTAGAAGTCTAAAGTTGAACCTCTCTGTCAATGTGAGGCCAGGATGAAATGGCCTTCCTGCCCCCCCTCGCGCCCCACCAGCTGTGTGAGGGTCCTTGGAATTTTAAATTCACTTCCCTCCCCCCCAAGGCTTCCAAACAGAAATCATTAGTTGGTTTTAAGAAGATTATTTGGGCTGAAAGTTGTTAGCTCTAAGCTGGGCAAACTGAGGTAGGTGCCTCAAAACTAGAATTGCTGGGAGGCAAAAACAGCAGCCTACTGGCTATTCTTCTTCAGTGAATCAGTGCTGAGGTAAAGCTCCACTCCCAGTTCAGATGGCCTCTGAATATGCCATGGTGCTTGGGGGTGCCATTTTGTCCTTTACCATAAGAAGCAAAATGTCTTGGACCAGGACTGAAGCTAGAGATAGCTAAAAGAAAACCACTAGTATTATTTTCCTCACATGTGGTGCACCAGTGCAACTTTACCTATACATCCATCAGGGTTTTCTCTGGCCAGATTCCAGTAAAGTGGTTTACAGATGCTACAGGCAGGGCCTTCTACATTTTGCAGACACTGGCAATAGTCCTGAAAGACAAAGGGATGAATGTGTCTGTCATTAAAGGAAGCTATCTCATCTTATTCATGAGAGTCCTTCAGATATGTTAAGACTGCTACCATACCTTCCTTTAACCTTTCATCTCCCAGGCCGAACATACCCCATACAGGTGTTAGCCCTTAGGAAAAGTAAATGCTAACATGCTGGTTGCTTTTTTTCTTTTTCCTTCTCACTTTATTAAGCTCCACTATATTAGGACAAAATGTCAAGTTCTCAAAACACTGTGTTAATCTCTTCCATAACTACAGTGAATGCAAGCCAATTCTATAAGCTCCACTATATTAGGACAAAATGTCAAGTGCTCAAAACACTGTGTTAATCTCTTCCATACTACAGTGAATGCAAGCCAATTCTCGTAGTACTTACAGAATAAGAATCCATAGTTCCAGCTGGGTCACACTCCTTGCTGGCACCTTTTCATAGTCAAAGAAGAAGAATGATTTATGCTGAAATACTTTTTGCAATATGTATAGCACCTACGTAAACAAGTTATTTTACTCTATACATGCACAACAAACTTGTGAAGTTCATTCATTTCAAAGATCATTATTATACCTAATTTAAATAGCAACTTTAATTTCCATAGCAGAGAAAGTCTTTGAATTCATGATGTCCACATAATCACTGTCCTTTCCATTTTACCAATACTGAGGCCAATAACACACACTGAGTTATCCACTGAGTTTATACATGGCTCCATACACTGATGTATGTTGTCATTGAATGATATGGCTGTGTACAAAGAATGAGCTTCAGGGCCACAATAAAGCAGTAAGAAGGATGTGTTATGATTGCGTTTGTCATTCTTAAAGTTGAAACCCCAAACCCATGTGATCCAATATTCTTTCTAGTCTCCCGCCTAAGCATCTGGTACTCAGAACTGGAGGCATAAAAAGCAATTCATTTCACTACAAGGTACAGCAGCTGAACTTGATAAAATCCCCTTGTCACTTACAGGCCCAAACATTTCTTGACCACTTCTACAATTTATCCATAGACACAGAAATAAATATTACCTTGGCAATGAGGAAAATGGTTGGTGAGTGAAAAACACCTGTCACACCACTGGCCTGTGATACCTGGTCGACACTCACACTGCCCTGTGGCTGGATCACACGTGTCGTGATAGGAGCCATGAGCTGAACACCGACAAGCTGAACAGAAATGTTTATTGTAAAAGGTTGGCAAGATTTATACACCAGATATGTTGTTATCTGACTACTTTTGAGATGTGCCTAGATATATTGTACTACAGTTCCCATCACTCTACCATGATTGTAGGCCATAATAGCTGGAATTTGTGGGAATTGTAATTTGACACAGCCTCTGGCAATCCCTCCTGCATGATAGTATGCGTTCTTTATATAAGATTAGAGACATGCTCAAGCAAGCAAAGGCATCTTTCTGGACCACTGCATTCCATCACTTTTATAGAGAAAGGAAAATATATGTGTACCTTGGGGTTACAAGACTGTTCATCACTTTGAAGCCCCTAGCTATGCAGACAGTCTCTATGAAGATGTAACACAGAGCAGGAGGTCCCTCATGTAAGAAAGGGGAGCCCTATTCTCTTTAAACTACAGTAATATTCAGGCATTGAGTTGATTGAGGCTAGAGATAACAGCAAAGGAAAAGCCACAGAGAGGACCAGGCATGGGAAAAGCGATTTTCTTTTTCAGAGTATAACTCATAGAATACCCCAGGCATCATGACCACTGGCTTTTATCACTTTCTTTGTTATAACTTCAAGAAAGTAGAACATCTCACTCAACCGTGTACAATTCAAAAGGCACCTTGGACTCAAATCAACCTCATTACAACCTTCTTTCTCTTTATTACTAATGTTTAGCTGTATCAGTCCTACTACTATTTATTATTTATTTATTTATTATTTGACTTCTACCCTGCCCCTCTAGACAGAGTCTACTCGGGGTGGCTTACAAACAGTTATAAAACATCATAAAATATAATCATATAAAATCATCATTATAACTATCAAAATATATCGTAAACAATCACATAATTAAATCAATAAATTTAAGAGTTCAAGATGGAGGAAAAAGAGAACTAAAGAGAAAAAAAATCAGATGCTGACTGGAGGGAAGGCCTGCCTGAAGAGCCAAGTCTTTAAATGACTCTTAAAAACACGCAGCAAAGGTGCCAGGGTGATTTCCAGCGGCAAGGTGTTCCATAGTCAAGGGGTCACTGCTGAGAAGGCCCAGTTTCTTGTTTTTTCTTTCCAGGCGTCTCTCAGCGTTAGGCCCCACAGTCGTCTTTCCTGGCTAAAACGGGGGACTTAGGTGGAAGAAGGCGTACTACCACATTTGGAAGAATATGCTAGCTTAATTCCTCTTCAGATGCTCCTGCTCTCATTAGAAACAATGAAATACTGTACCAAGCATATCAACTTCATATCCATAAAAGCAAGAACTAACATGGAAGGACTTGAACACTACAGGAATACACATATAGGGACCAAAATACTGTTACAGTGGACCCTCTACTTAAGGAATTAATCCGTATTGGAATGGTGGCTGCAAGTCGAAAAGTCTGTAGGTTGAATCTCCATTGACCTACAATGCATTGAAAACCGATTAATCCCATAACCAGCGGTTTTTATTCTATTTTTGTTCCATTTTGGTTTTTTTCTGGTCTGTAAGTTGATTCTTAGTCAAATCTAAATTTTGAATCTAAATTTTGCAGCCAGAGAAGTCTGTAACTCGAAAAGTCTGTAAGTCGAGCCGTCTGTAAGTCGAGAGTCCACTGTACTTAACTGCACATCACACTGGAGTATATCCATTGACTCAACAGGGATATTGTGAATCAGCTCCTTTCTAAGTTTTATTGATTCAAATGGGTCTACTCTAATTGTGATTTATTCTAGCATAGTAAGTCACAGTTAGAGTAGGCCCATATGAATGTAATGGAACTTATAAAGGAGTTGACTCACCAAGTCTCCATTCATTTAATCAGCCTAATCTAGTGTAATTTTTTACACTAAATAATTGGATTTTGGCCAATGTATTTAAAAATCAAAGACCTACAAATCTCTACAAATAGCAGAGAAGAGAAGGGAAACAAAATGCAAGGGAGATAGGGAAAGTTACAGAAAATTGAAAGCAGACTTCCAAAGAACAGCAAGGAGAGACAAGAGGGCCTTCTTAAATGAACAAAGCAAAGAAACAGAAGAAAATAATAGAAAAGGAAAAACCAGAGATCTGTGCAAGAAAATTGGAGATATTAAAGGAACATTGTGTGCAAAGATGGACATGATAAAGGACAAAAATGGGAGGGACCTAACAGAAGCAGAAGACATCAGGAAGAGGTGGCAAGAATACACAGAAGAACTATATCAGAAAGATTTGGATATCCCGGACAACCCAGATAATGTGGTTGCTGACCTTGAGCCAGACATCCTAAAGAGTGAAGTCAAGTGAGCCTTAGAAATCATGGCTGACATGTGCTTTCCCCACAAATGGACTCCACAGTAATTCAATACTGAAATACATTCACACCAGCTATTGTGCAAATGCAAACACTGCCACCTTCAATTGGACTTTGAAACATGAGTAACCCAGCACAAGGATGCAGCAGAAAAGTAATAGGAAGCAGCCAATACTATTGTTCTTTTCTCACACACAAATTAAATCTATTATTTTCATCTACTTCTTTGTTCCCTGCTGATGTTTGCATTCTCTTGAGTTTTGTACATTGATTTCTAGAAGGTCTGTGGAGGTGATCCCTGGAGGTATAAATATGCAGACGTGGAAAGCTAAATAAGTCAATGGGTCCTGAATAGGGACAAAGTACCTATAAAGATGGGGCAACTTAGTACAGTGGTGCCTCGCATTGCAACATTAATTCATTCCGCAAACATCGCTGCAGAACGAAAACGTCGTTATGCGATATTAAAGATTCTCCATAGCGCAGCCATTTCTGGTGCCTCTTAAGCGAGGAAAAACAGCGGGCGGCCATTTTGTTTACCCGGTGGCCATTTTGAAACTGCCGATCAGCTGTGCGAAAATGGTTGCTTTGCGATGATCGATTCCCCTAGCAGGGAACCGATCATCACAAAGCAAAATTCCCCCATAGGGAACATCGCAAAGCGATCGCTTTTGCGATCGCAAAAAATGCATCGCAAAGCAATTTCGTTGTAAAATGGAGCGATCACTATGCGAGGCACCACTGTAAAACAAATTTAATCATCATTTACTCAGGGGTGGTGCTGGGCCTGGACTTTCAGGGCCAGGTTCAGGGCCCTACAAGTGAGTAGGGCTTTGTATTCTAGAACAGTGGTTCTTAACCTTGGGTTACTCAGGAGTTTTGGACTGCAGCTCCCAGAAGCCTTCACCACCAACTGTGCTGGCTGGGGTTTCTGGGAGTTGCAGTTCAAAAACATCCGAGTAACAAAGGTTAAGAACCACTGTTCTAGAAGGCTTTCATGGACGGGATCCAATGGTTGTTGTAGGTTTTTCAGGCTGTTTGGCTGTGTCCTGGAGGTTTTTCTTCCTAACATTTCGCCAGTCTCTGTGGCCAGCATCTTCAGAGGACAGGAGTTAGAACTCTGTCTGCATTCTGGTGTAGTGTGTGGGATAAAACCTGATCCCGCAACTGCAAATACTTGACAATCCGTAGCATTTTGCAACAAGAGGATTCTTTAAGTACACATTATTTTGTAATGTCCCATTCCTTAAGGAGCTAATATTCTGCACTCACACAAACATAACACTTCTTTTTCCTTTTATCCTGTTGTGGTGGTCGTCAAACAGCACTTTCAGTTTGCTGGATTGTGTGATAATGACAACCTATCACTATCATGCAACATTTAATCTTGTCTTCTCTGATTACTGCCTACAGCATGTCATATTCTGTCACTCACCACTTGGAACAGTATTACCAGAACCCCAGTTACAAGGACAGAAGGCAGAAGAGCCATGTAAAATTATGAAGCAAAGTGTGTTGCAGGAAACATTCTAGCCTCCATATTTAAAGATACCGCAATAATAATTAGGTGCTGTCACCATAAGTCAGAATCACCTTGAGCTAAAGAGGAAATATTACATGCTCTGTGAAAAGGTAGAAAGGGGAGAGGAAAAGGAGGAGGAAATTCAAGAAAGCAGGGAAGGAGATGAGAAGCAGCAATGGCAAGTTAAGTCAATGCTGCCATGCCTAGCCAGCTCAGTGTTAGTGGAAGGTGTGGGGGGAATCTGGCAGCATTTTGGTGGTGGCAGGGGCATGCAGGACCACAGAAAAGCAGTGGCAGTTGGCTTGTGAGTTGCTCACCCCTACAAAATGAAAAAATGGCAGCCCAATGGCAAAGGTTCAGCCCTCTTGAATCTTAAAAAAATCCTAGGTAGCACACTGAGAAAAACTCTGGGCAATACCCTGGATACTTGTTGCCAACATGGGTAGACAGGATCTTAAACATGTGTGTTCAGTGATAAGCCATGAGATTTACTCCCAGGTGTGTACAGGACCACACATGGACTGATTTGGTGTAACAGTGCTTCTTACATCTGAATGAAAGACAGAGGCCCTGAACCTAGATATGAGGCCCCAAATCTCAATAAGCTCCCTTCCAAATTCCCAGGAAGCAAGCATGCATTCAGAGGGCTTTTCCCCTCCTTCTTTTTTTCCAGCCATCATAACCATTTCACAGTACAATGATTCTTATCTATTTAACTATGTACAGTGAGCAACCCTAAAGGCACACACTGCCAAATCTACCTGCAAGACTGAATTACCATTAGACAGATGTAGTCTTCTTTTAAACATATTGTTACCTTGACAGAAGGGGAATGAATGATACCCAGTTCGACAGACATTGCACTGATGGCCATCTACCTCAGAACGACAAAGGCATCGTCCATGGGAGTCACATATTTCTGGCTGCGTACCAGCTAAATCACAATCACATGCTGCCAAGAAAAACAGAATGTTTTCAGAGGTCATTGTAAAATCAGCACCCTTAAATAAACCAGGACTAAATTGTATTCTCGAAGGCTTTCACGGCCGGGATCTGATGGTTGTTGTGGGTTTTTCGGGCTTTCTGGCCGTGTTCTGAAGGTTTTTCTTCAGAACACGGCCAAAGAGCTCGAAAAATCCACAACAACCATCAGGACTAAATTATTACAGCAGGATAGTGGATTTCTTCCTCTGCTTTATTTTAGCTTGTTTGTCAGTCCACAAGTTGACTTACTGATTATGACAAGGAGAATTCTAAATAAGTAGATTTATTTATGTCACTGCAGGTATCTTGTCAGCTGCAAGCCTGGCACTAAACCAAATGAACCTGTGACTATAGTCCCATAGTATTAACTATGCTGGGTTTGGATGACTGAATCTGAAAAATCTGGAGGGTCAGAGGTTCCCCAGCACTGCCCACAACATGTCCACTGAAAAGCTACTGGGAAGCCAATTCGTACAAAGAAGATTCAGAAGCTGTTCTCTCAGGTAGGGGGTGCACTCCAAGCCTTTTTGTTTTTGTTCCACGGTTGTGCTTGCATTGGTATCACAAACAACTGCTGCTGGCCAGACAGAAACAAAGACTGAACTGTACCCTCTGTGTTTGCAACATGGCCCAGCAGGATGCAACAGAAGTGGGTCATTACATGGATGTCATGTGGCCCAGAGAAGCAAGTGAAGGAAAATCTTTTTTCCTCTCAGGATAAAATGCCTTTAAATCTGCTCAGATGATTAATAGCACCATGTTATATTGCAGGCAAATTCCCTTCAGTTTCTTCCAGTAATTTTATGGAAGGATACTGAGAAATGTCCATATATTCTATGATTCCCCTTTTACCAAGCCAATGTGGATGTCATGTGGCCCAGAGAAGCAAGTGAAGGAAAATCTTTTTTCCTCTCAGGATAAAATGCCTTTAAATCTGCTCAGATGATTAATAGCACCATGTTATATTGCAGGCAAATTCCCTTCAGTTTCTTCCAGTAATTTTATGGAAGGATACTGAGAAATGTCCATATATTCTATGATTCTCCTTTTACCAAGCCAATATTTTCTTCTTCTTCTTTCCTTTCTCTGTAGGCTCTTGACAAAAAGGCACTGTATATCTTTTCAAACAGAGAGAAATGAGCTTCTAAGTGTGTCTGCCTTCAGACATTTGTGAAGCTGCATCTTGGAACTGAATCAAATCCTCAAAAATATTCAGGCTCTGGAGTTTCTTAGCACCAGGTAGCCATGCCAGTCTGATGCCCTAATCTTTCTCTCTTATGGAAACATATAGCCTGCCTTTCCAACTACCTTGTGCCCAAGGCAGCTGACAAAAACAACCTAGAAGCACAATGTAAAAATAATTTAAAAAATAAAATTATGAAAGACTCACTTTGACAGAAAGGGTAATGGAAATATCCTAGTGCACATCTATCACAAGTGGCTCCTTGGAATCCTGCACGACATTGGCATTGACCTGTTTTTTGGTCACAGTCAGGATTCAACACTCCTGTACCACGGCACTGGCAAGCTAGGCAGATATATAGAGATATATTTTAAGAAAAGAATTAAGTGCCAATAGTCTGGTATTTCAAACACATGTGAATGAGAACCAAGACAGCTTTGGCATGTATCAGTGGACTTACGGAGGCAATTTGGCCCAAAAAATCCTGGTTTGCAGCCACCTCCTAATACAGAAAGAGAAAGGAAGACAACAGAATTAAAGCACAGACAAAAGAAAGCCTTGCACATAATAAAGCTGGTGGGAGGGGAAATAGTGCTGGCCCCAGACAATTACAGCATTACGTGTTCTAAAGCATTCTTAAAACTTAAGCCCTGCATTGCTCAGGGACTTACACAGCCATTTCCAGGTGCAGGAACTGAGGGTAAGAAAGAGCTCTTCAATACTAAGAAATAGACAAGTCTTCACATATCCAGAGTATCTTGTGATGGATTAATTCTTCAGAAGCAGAGGTCACCCTTCTCTACGGGTGGTTGCTTGTATCACACTGTGTGTCTATATATCTATACACATGTGCAGATATATTTATCAGAAATTGGAAAAGTTTTAAAAAAATTTGGATTATCTGTCCAAAAATATACCTGGCAGAGGCTAGGCTGCTGCAGTATTCTGCAAATTATACTCTGGAAAAAAGTAACTTCCCTAATCTGTGGTATACAGAGATAGCATGTACACAAGTACACAAAGAATAGCATGTACTCACATGCTTAAATCCAATTACTACAGTGGCTTTTACAGCAACATTACACAGCTAAAGATCTGTGTGGGTTTGTTTCCCTTTTTCTGTACTGCACAGAATTATTACTTAATGTTAAGCTCACATGGCTGAAAATTATTCTTATCAATGTATAAATTGCTCCAATGTTCTGAACTTTTACATCTTTTCCCAGTCAGTTACCTGCATGGAATAATTTCAGTCTGGAACTCTAGTTCTGGAGATGTTTCTTTCCACTCTGCCACTACTAGAATTATTCTCTGTGGCTCAGTGAATACTTACTTATTTTGCAAAGGACACAGACATGCTATGATTCTATTTTCTATCCCTTAGTACTAATGTCATACCATTTGTTATCCCATTATACACTAAATTAATGATAAAACAAAAACCCATTTATTCTCATATATGGAAGAGCCTCCAGAATCGTCATGTTCTGCTTGTAATCCAGTTCTTCCCATCACTAATTCTGCCTTATTTCTTACAGTAGAAAATCTACTCAGAAAGGGAAGAGCGGACCAGCAGCGCAACCTTTGTGCATGTGTGGACAGGAAAAATGCATGCTTCAGATACAGAGAGGAAATGTCCCTGGAGAAGATGGATGATGTGTTGGGACTTTTTCTCCTTTCTCTCATGGCTGCTCTGTATTTTCCGTTCCAGCGCCAGCTTGCAAGCAGGCAAAATCAAACTGGAAAGTTTGCAGGTGGGGTTATGAACCTAACAGGATGGGGTTGTATTGAGTGGATTTCGTTATTAAGTTCACCAAAGGCCAGATACCTGCAAGTGAACCTGATGAAATTAAAGCCCATTTGATAAAAAATATTTACAGCAGGACACCCACATGCACGGAGGACAGGTTCCAAACACATACACACCATGGATGTCTGAAACCATAAATATTAGTGAGAATTGTTTTCCAAATGCAAATGACAAGCGAGCAGAAAGCAAGGAGTGAGGCACTGAGGAGAGCTTGAGCCTCCAGCAACTTATCCCATTGGAAGAAACTTACAGCCTGTTCACACTGGTATATAGTAATGATATATGATATTCTCTGATAGGATTGTTTGGCATAGAAAAAGAAGGCCCTGTCTGCTTGTATTTCTATTTAGAATGATCCATCCTTCTTCTTTAATGCTGGCTGTCTCTTTCTGACTGAGGGCTAGGGCATGCAATCTTTTTCGGATGATTCCTTGAGATGCAAATTAGCTGTTTGTTCTGCATTCACAGACAGGTACCAAGAGTTAAAACAGATTGCACTGAATATAAGGACCTTTTAAGCACCTTCCGGATCACATGAAATTTCACAATGTGAAAAGGCCAAAAGACTCATCTCCATCCCTCAAAAAAGCCATGTGCCACCACTCCCTGGACCAAAGAAACAGATGGGGGAAATGATGAAGGGGTTGCCTTTAATTTCAGATTGCAACCAGCCACTGTTAAGTGAAACTACAGTAACTGAAACAGTACATGTGAGTGTTCTACTGTATTCAGAAAGAAGCATAGCTATAATCCTTTTGGCCTATGCTGCAGCCTTTTAAAAAGCTACCTTTTAAAAATTGTTGCAATTGTACTACTTAAAAACTGCACACACACTCCAAACCAACACACGCACATGACAGAATATTAACATGGTACCCCAAAGCACTTGCTTCAAAATGTCAGAGGAAGAAAAGAAGTGGGGAGCAATAAGGGATGAGAAAAGAGGAGCATGCAATACTATACGAACAGTTACTGCAAGCCTGTTGCACCGATAGAAGATAGCAAGATGTTCCCATATACTCTGCAAAGTACTAGACCTCTGAAATATGGTCTGTCAATTGCAACTCTGTTTGTAGCTGGCAACAGAGAAGCAATTATTGGTAGCATTAGGGGTTTTTTCCTTTGAAATGACCCCAAGACAGAAAATGAGCATTAAGACATTGGAACACCCATCAAGTGGGGGACATTTACATATTCATTATTCAAAAAGCATACATATTTCTGTCACCAGTCTTCAAGCATCCACTTACAAATGCAGATAACTGGCCAAAAATATGTATACTAGATACTCCCTAGGTAAACTCACCCTTAAAATGCCTATATTTTTCAGGTTTTTGACTCTGAGAGATATTGGAGTATTAAAAGATAAGATATGAACACAACAGAAAAAAACTTACCAACTATATGACCAGCTGAAGGATCTTCTGGCCTTGGAGTAGGAACGGGATGAACAGGATTCCCTTTGATGGGAGAAAATAATGAGAAAACACATTTTAAATTGAAATAGGCATACTATATTTACATACTAATTTTCTGCCAAGATATTCGAAGTGGTTCACAGTCGAAAATCACTGGATGATTTTAAGAGACAGGATAGAAAAGGGCAAATGGAGAGGAAAAAAGAACATTCAGGTCCCACAAGCTGTAACAATTACTTTAAACAATTACGGGAAACTAATAAGCAAATGCCATTTCGTCCCTTAAGAGTGATAGAGATTTATGGCACTTTCAGTGTTCCCCTGATGCAAACAGGAACAATGAACTTATTTTACATTGATACATATGTTGGCCTGTAGGGAAAGGAAAAATGTTCTGTTTCTTATTTCCCCTTAATTGTTCCACTGTCTTTTTTTTGCCCCACTTCTCACCAATCATCTCTTTCCTTCTCCAAAATCTCCTGCCTCCAACCCACCGTCTTCTCCTCTTTCCTTTACACAAATTCCTCTTCTGGACTCATGTTCTCCCCTCTGTCATCTTCGTCTCTGTCCTTCACTCAACTCTATCCCCTCCATCTCATTCTTCCCTGCTTCTTCAGATTCTCTCAATGTGTCATCTTTCCTTCCTTCAAACTGCCTCTGGTCTCCTACCCACTCACACCACTCTAATGCACTCCATCATCCTTCTCTTCATCGTACCCACTCACACCACTCTAATGCACTCCACCATCCTTCTCCTCCTCCTCATCCTCTCATACAGCTGGACTGGAGCAAAAGAAGCAATTGCCAGATGTTGTAAGGTTGCATGAAGGGATGGTAAACCTACTGGAATGCTTCAGTAACCATATATTTCCTTTCATCCATCTATTTTCTTTCAGAGATAGAAGGTAGTGCCATGCCATCACCTGCATTTAAATTCTTGCGATGCAAGAAAATGCAGGAAGAACATTCAGTCCAGAGATAGAAGGTAGTGCCATGCCATCACATGCATTTAAATTCTTGCGATGTCCATACATCGGCATCCCACTTTAAAAATGCAGGGAGAACATTCAGTAATGTCTCTTCACTTTATAAGGGGTGATGGCTGCATTCTGTCAGTAAATGCTACAGTATAGATGCACTGGCTCGGAAAATAAACAACCAAGTTGTTATGCAGTATTGTAATGCCAACAGAAAAAGAGATGAGTGAGAGGAGAAAATTAATTGAAACCAGAAGCATGTTTTAAAAAGAACCCCGCAGACATCTGCTTCCCAACCCATGAAACTAACCACTCACTGAGATATAAACAGAGATACGGATTGTAAAGTTCAGCTTTATCTCAAGGTTCATCAATGTCTGCACTTTCTATCTAGGTGACATGGCAAATACAAGAAGATTTACTTCCTTGCCTTATCTAGCAACATAACATTGATTAAGTGACAACTTTCCACATAGTTTGATACATTTTGATTATAACAAATGTATGATACAGAGGGGTATTTGTTAAAAACAGGACGAAACTGAAAGGTCTGCCGATACTTACGGTAACAGAAGGGGAAACTGTAGTATCCCTCTGCACACTGGTCACAGCTCTCGCCTTGATAATTGTGTTTGCAGTAACATCTACCAGATCCTTCCTCACAGCCATCAGAATATTCTGGATTACAGCTGCAAGCTAAATAAAACAGTGTCATTCCAACAGCCTTTTAAAACTGGATGTATTTATTTCCTAAAGGCTATAGCCTTTATAGTTGCTGGCGGGTGAGAGTTTGATTCCCCGCTGTGCCTCCTGAGACTGCAGCCAGCCTGTGTGGCCTTGGGCAAGCTGCACAGTCCCAGGGCACCCCCAGAAGAAGGAAATGATAAAACACTTCCAAGTACTCTCTATCTGGAAAACTACAGTAAGTGTCACCATAAGATAATTCATATTTATATGACAGTCAATTGTATTTATGTTTGCTTCCTTCTTTAGATAATCTGAAAATTCTAATATTACTTTCACACAACAATGTGCTGCCTTCCTCCTGACAGCAGATTACAGTAATATCTCTCTATCCTTTCAAATTAATGTAGAGGAGAGTCACCGGTCAACCTGCTTCCTTGGATCTCAATGTCAGTATGAATAGCTAAATGTTTCATCATAGGCATGGGAGTAATGGCTTCCTGCCTGCATTTTAAAGCAGCTTGTGATGGCATGTTGGATCGTATTTTCTTAGTAGGTTTATGGATCGACCTTTCTGAGTAACTTTGTCCATGAGGAATAGTAGCTGGTGCAATAGCCTTCACTTTTTTTTGGTCTTAATCCAATATAATAAACAAATAGAATGAGCAGAAGTAGCCAGCCATGCTTGGGACTATAATTAGATTTTCTACATAAACAAAATCTATTTGAGCCTTTCTCAAGCACAAAGGTAAAAACAAGATGCTTTTTTTCAATGGGTGTGATCAGATGGGCATTTGTCCCTCTGTTTGCTCCAGATTGGGGACGGGCTGATTCACTTTTTTTTCGCAACCACATGACATACATGCTATTATGAACCAGCCTACCCCTGACTGACGAACCTTTTTGGTTTCCTGCTGGGGCTACTGGCTTTTTGGTGCAGGTAAGATTGCTCTGTTTTGGTTTAATTCCAACATGTGTGATTGCTGGGATAGAACCAAAACAGCTGCCTGGCTCTGCCTTTGCTGAAACCTCAGAATAAATGCTATTTGCATCTACACTTGAGAATAACAACCAAACCACTAACTACCAACTTACAGGCAAGCTAATGATTCTATCTATTGCCAGTTTATGTAATTATATGTTTATATAATCAATATTTTGGGTGTTTATCACCCTTGTTAATCGTGCTAGTTCATTAATAGTATCAATAATGCAATTTTTATCTACCGTTTCCTATTTTACTTTGTCTTCCACTACCATGTACGCTATGCCTGTAACTCCATGTGTGAGGCAGAGAATTGAAATTAATAAAGCTCATGTTGAAATAAATGTTAATCTTAAAGCTGTTACGGTATGTTTGGTCATTGTTGTTAAGTAAAATACTTTAGTTCCTTAAACATCCATGTGGCAAGGAGACACCTGGTAAGAGTATTAACATAGTTTTAATATATAAATGGAAAGATGATGATGATAGTAATAATACAATGATGAAAGAAGCTGAGCTTGCCAACAGGCTTTTATGAAACTCCAAAATCTAGAGTACTATATGCAAAAGGAATATACTAAAGTTGCATTCTAAAATACGTTCGTCAACTTGACCAATTCTTCCTATAACATTTAAGGTACAGGGGTTGGAAGGGAATAACTAAGAAGGAAATATAAAAGAAAAAAACTGAAAATACAAACATACATATACATCCGTGTGTTGTCATCACTGATATGCCATAAGGACGATAGTAACCCTTCACACATTTCTCACAATTTACACCAGCTGTGTTGTGCTATGTAGAATAAAGCAAAAGGAAAAAAATGTGACACAAGATAAACATAATTTCAACAAGCTAAGACATAAACACTGCCATTTAAAAACTATTTTCAATCTCTTATTACAATGAAAAGAAAAGGTTAATGTAGCAGACTTGCAATTTCCTAGTTTCTTGCTGTTTCTTTTTTCATGTTGCCAGGAACAAGGGTTTGTTTAAAATCAAGAACCCACACATCTTGATGTAGGGAGCCACTGCAGCTATCTAGTCAGACTAGCCATCCAATACTAGTATTTCCTAATTATTTCTGACTCTTAGCCTTCCTGACTATCTGCTTGTTCCCTGGCTTGATTTCCTGACTTCACCTTTTCTGCTCTGATGCCTAGCTCTTGGTTCTTAGCTTAAACCTTTTGGTTGAGATTCTTGGCACCATTCCTGACTCCAAAATGACAACTCCTATGGCTCAATCCCAACATATATTTCCAGATTTTCCTATCCATTATCTCAAAAAACATGTCATTGCCCTAAAAATGATGTAAATCAGTCAACTCGTGAAATTATATTAGATAAAAAATAGATCAGCGAAATTCTTCTCTGTTAATTGGCTGTTTAAATTATTAATTTATTATCCAGTTAATCAAGATGATGAGAGAAATGGTTGTTGTGGGTTTTTCAGGCTGTTTGGCAGTGTTCTGGAGGTTTTTCTTCCTAACATTTCACCACTCTCTGTGGCCGGCATCATCAGAGACTAGCCAACGACACCCATCAATCACAGTGACAGATCATCTCCCCCCCCTTATCACAACAAAACACCCATAACAAAAACACCCTATCACAGGAAACACCCAATCAACAAAAACCTGATCCTACAGCTACAAATACTTGACAATCCCACACACTACACCAGAACACACAGTTCTAGCTCTTGTCCTCTGAAGATGCCAGCCACAGAGACTAGCGAAACGTTAAGAAAAACCTCCAGAACATGGCCAAACAGCCTGAAAAACCCACAACAACCATTAGATCCCGGCGTGAAAGCCTTTGAGTACATGATGAGAGAAAATTCATTTGGTTCCCTATTAATCTGCACTGGGACGGTTTGCCAGTAACCAAGTTTTCTAGTTTCCATATACTGCAAAACTTTTTTTCCAGCTGAAATAACATTTCAAATCCAATAAGCCAAAACATATTTTAAAAGAAGAAAGGCACACTACCAATTTATTTGAACTACAGAGATATTTAAATTTTGTGACCACAAAAAATTGGACCTATTGCAAGGAAATGACTTAATCACCACGATAACAGATACAGAGAACAGAACACACAGATCACTATTGTTTTCCAGAGAAACAGATGCTGGTCTGTATGCTGTGCCTCAATTTCCACCACTTTGTCATCCATGCAAACTTTTCTGATGGTGTTACTATAAATACTAATGGGAAAGGCCAATTCCAATCCATATGCTTCTTCTAGGAGGGAACAGCTACACTGAGATTTAATGGCTGAGCAGTTTCACTCGGCTTAATTTCCACAAAAATCAAATTATGGACAATCAGCATGAGTCATGGCAGACACTGATCCTGAAGAATCTGGTCACTTTCCTAATTTTATGACATTCAGAGAAGAAGTTTAACTAACATGTTCTTTCATGGGCAAAAATGCAAAAAGGAAACTCCACACAAAATGCCAGTGGAAAATCAAGAGCTTCCCTCTGTCTCCTGAAAAACAATTTTTCTTTTATTTACATCCAACTATGGGTTGGCAAGAATTGCTTTCAGTTAGCAATGAGATCAAAAGTACACCATGGTTGCATGGGATGTTTGCTTTGATCTTATGTCCCAGTCATCCTCTGGAGCTGTAAGTAGTACTAAGGAACAAAGGTTCCTCTTTCATCTTCTCTACAATTTCACATTTGGCTGAAGTTTGAAAGCCTGAAAAAGTTACATTTTTCATTGTAGGTTAAATTCTTTGGAGGGCACCACATTGCCCGTCCCTAAATCGCTGTTGTCAGATGGCTAAAAAATACAAATTAGTACACAATTCTGTACATGCCTACTTATCACCATGTCTTATTTTCAATGGATACAGCTATGCAGGACGAAATACAGTATGTGAATAGATCCACTGTGAACTCACACCCAGGTTTCCGCCATAAGTTTGCTTTAACTGACCACACAGGAGTCTAAATGGACAAAAAAGCAAATCAGCCGTCCGCCTTGTTTGTAGCTTGTTAAGGTAGCTCCACACAGTGTCCCTCCAGATTTTCAGGATGCACAACTACATCAGAGCTACCTTAACAAGCTGCCAAGAGCTACCACCAAAGCTGCCAAGAGCTGCCTTAACAATCAATTTCTTCCGCACTCTTTACTGACTCAATCCCTCTTCCCCCCCCCACATTGGTCTCATCTCTAGCAAACTAGTGATTGTTTTAAACCCTTTAAATGATAATGATAATGATAATAATAAAATAATAAA